CTTTTTTTGTTTTGTTTTCTTTCTGGCATTTATTTTTATTTTAAATTATTGCCCAGAGGTGCAGAAATTTCTTTTCTTTCCTTTTTAGATTTTTTTTTTTTTTTTTTTTGCAGAAATTTCTTGACTGGCACAAAATGCAGAATTAGGAAAGTTAAATAAATTATAGAATGCTTAGTATTGGAAGATTGAATTGTTTCATATTTTTATTGAGATAAAATTCATATACCATAATATTCACCCTTTCCAAGGGTATAATTATGTGATTTTTAGTATATTCACAAAGTTATACAACTAATACCACTATCTAATTTCATTACATTTTCATCACCCCGAAAGTAAACCCAGTCTCCATTAGCAATTATTCTCTATTCCTTTTGCAATGTTGATATCTAATTGTCCCATCATCATTTGTTGAAAAGAATATTCTTTCCCCCATTGAATTGTCTTGGAATTCTTATAAAAACAAATTTACCATAGACGTATGAGTTTATTTTTAGACTCTCACTTCTACTCAATTGATATATATGTCTATCATTATGCCAGCACCACACCCTTGTTTACTGTAGTTTTAAAATAAATTTGAAATCAGTACATATGAGAACTCTGCTTTACTCTTTGTCAAGATTGTTTTGGCTATTCTGGATCTCACACATTTCCAAGTGAATTTTAGGATCAGCTTGTCAATTTCTGTAAAGAAAAAAGTTGGAATTTTGATCAGGACTGTATTGAATCTATAGATCACTTTGAGTAGTATTGCCATTCTAAAAATATTAAGTCTTCCAAACCATCAACATAGGATATCTTTCAATTTTTTAAAGATTTTCTTTAATTTCTTTCAACAAAGGTTTATAGTTTTAAATGTGTAAGTTTTACACTACTTTTGTTAAATTTATTCCTAAGTATTTTATTATTTTAGGTGCTATTATAAATGGAATTGTATCCTTAATTTCATTTTCAAATTGTTCATTGCTAGTGTATAGAAATACAGAGAATTTTCTATAGTGATTTTGTGTCCTGACACTTCGCTGAACTCATTTATGAGTTTTAAAAGATTTTTTTAGGATTTTCCTAAATTTTCATGATTTTCTAAGATGATGTCCTCTGTGAATACAGATAATTTTACTTCCTTCCAATCTATATGACTTCTATTTCTTTTTCTTGCCTAATTGCCTTGGTCCCTGACCTTTTAAAACCTATCCAGTTTCTTGAGTGACTTGCCTCTTTTTCCCTTAGAAAGTTTTCTGGGAGAAATAGACAGGGTGTAGAAGGAAGAGAGAAAATGGGGCTTTTAAAAATCAGAAGTGGTGACTGTGTGGTTTGAATTGATTTTCAGTGAATCTCATATCCTCTCAGTGGAAATGTCTTCCTTCATAGCACCTGAGCCCAGGGATTTTCTGGGGAAAATCTCTGGAATCTGTTTTCCTTGGGTTTTAGACACAAGCCTGGCTGAGCCCAACATCTACCCTTCCCTGCCTGTTACAGAGCCTAAGATGTGATGGCCATTTTCCCTGTGCTCATTTCTTTATCTTCTCTGGCCAATTCTTTCTTGCTGGTCAGAGGTAGAACACCAACAGTTCCTCTCATTATGTTCTCTGGCTTACAGTAAATAAAACCATCAGTGAGACAATAGGTTTATCAGCTGTTCTGCTTCTATCCCGAAGAGACTTTGACAAATATCTTCATCACATATGAAGTCCTTTTCTGGGCCAGTTTTGTGATCCATGTGAGGAGAGTCCACCAAGCCTCTCCTTCCAACTGTCCTCTTCCTTGCACTTGGGTCTCTCACAGAGGTCTCCCATGTGGAAGTGAGCATATTTTATTGACACTTTGGCTCTTTATCCACCCCAATCCAGGAGTTATAACAAGCCACACACTTAATTTCCTTACTCCTGATGAAGGTCCTGGCTCACCATGTTTTAGTGGGGCTCCTAGTTTTTCCCAGTTATGGGAAAAAAAAGAAGGAAGGGTAAAGTTCCATTAAAAATGGTGTGGAATGCACACCCAAGGCCTTGCTGAGTGGCTTTACAATGAGGTAAGTATCCCTCAGTATCAGTGCAGGCTGTTACCAGTGACTTCTTGGGATGTGCAGAAAGCCAAATGGATAGAATCTATAATAATGTACACACCCCCACAGCCAATTATGAGCTTCTAGTGATCAATGGCTACAAACATACAAGAGACACTGACCAGCCTCAGGCACGATCCAGGATGGTCAGCACCCTAGGCCAATCCTTCTGCTCCCCAGTTACAGTATAGATCTCTAGAGTGTAGCTGCCCTTTTGTTTTTAAATATATTTATTGATTCCAGAGAGAGATGAAGAGGGAGAGAGTGAGAAACATCATTTGGTTGCCTCTTGCATGCGCCCCGACCAGGGACTGTACTTGTCACTTAGGTATGCGCCCCAAGTGGGAATCGAACCCAAGACCCTTTGGTAACACTCCAACCAACTGAGCCACACCAGCCAGGGCATGTAGCTGCCCTTTGATTGGGACTTTCCTCCCAGGAACCAAATCTCTTCCTCCTAGCACCAGTCTGAAACGAAATTCAGGTCCCTGGTGCCTCACCAAGCTTCCTGTCTGCCCCGATTTCCTTCTAAGTTCACAGGTCCACTCTGTGCCTGCTACCCAATGTCAAAGTCACTTAGGCCAGGGGAGGTCTCACGAGCAAGTGAGTTTCTGATATGATAACTCCTCCCTTACCCTTGGGTTGCACATGGCTCAGTGCCTACTGAGAAGTGGTCCACTTGGATGAAGTCTCCATGAATCAGATCTCAAAATTCTTAAAACTATGCTTAGCTATACTACAAAATTCCTGCCAAATAATGAAGCAGAGAAGAGTGAGAAATAGTATAATGAATCAGTAAACTGAAAAAAAAAAAAAGAGAGAGAGAGAGAGAGAGGTCAATTCAGTTCCTGTAAATTGTGTTCTCCTGTCTCAGGCTTGCTTATTGTCCAGGCTATGGGAGCAGAGCATGAGCCACATCACATCCAGGTTCGTACAGTGCCAGCAAGCGCTCCCTAATCACACAGGCCTAATAAAGCCCCCGTGGCAAAGACAGACAGGGGGAACTGCCCGGGGTGCTATGAGCATGCCACGACTAATGTCTGAGATTACTATAATTATAACAATGCTACCTCCTCATTTTTTATCTGTATATTTCAAAAGGTCTACCTCCTACTCTTGTATGAATTGGTCATAATGCTTCATTATCCCATATACTTAAAAACTTATTACTGAGGCCTTAAGTGTATTCTGTCATCTTTCAAGGTATCAGTTACCATAATATTTCTATGATTCACTTTGAGTGTTTGAGGTAACATATTTACTATTATTTTCAACATATTAATAGGCACCAAAAAAAGCAATTTTAAAATTATTTTCTTCAGTTTTCCTTCACATTTAAGTTACTGTCTAGAGCAGTGATTTTCAATCTTTTCCATCTCATGGCATACATAAACTAATTACTAAAATTCTGTGGCACAGCAGAAAACATAATCTTTTTTGGCCAGTCTGACAAAAAATAGGTATAATTTTGATTCATTCACACCAGACAGCTATTGTTGGGTTGGCTGTTGTAATTTTGTAATTGGACAATCTAAGGGAAAAGAGGTCAGTGCCCCTGACTACATAGGTACTGCATGTTTTAAAAATTCTTGTGGCACACCAGGGTGCCACAGCACACCGACTGAAAATCTCTGGTCTGTAAATGTATTTCAATATAGTATATTTGCTCTGCTAAATTCATTCATAGAGTATCTGAAGGCCTGGACTGAACATATTTCCTGTAGTGACAACTACTCTATTTGTAGGAACTATTTAGGTCACTGGAGTGGAGAAAAAGAGGCCACTACTTAATAGAAATGGCATGTATCCAAATATAGATACAGTTTTCTGAACACCTGTTGAACATCAATGATGAAGAGATTGTTATAATTTCCAAAACCCTGGACCAAACCTTTAAATGACCAGTCTCTTTGTTTTAATTGACACAGGGTTTAACCCAGGAAAACAAATTTTCTAACCAACAAATGGTAAGTCTTAATATGCCAGCAGCTTTAGAAGTAAAATGGCCTCTTCAAAAACCTGTCTCAATGTCAATTATTCCCCATCAAAAGTCACTTCCGAGGAAGCTATATTATTTGAAACTTAGGGCATGCACAGGATTTGTTTGCTTTTGGAGGCACAGCGGGCATGACAAATATTTTCAGTTGTCAAGGGTGAGCCAGGAGGGTATGACCCATCTAAGAAATGGAAACTAAGAAGTAATATGACACTCCCCCTTGGTTCCATTGGGTGTGGTTTGCTACACACAGCTTACTTCCTATGGTAGGATAAAGGTGAGGCTGTGCAAGAGTTGAATGAAGGTGGCCTCTCGACCCCTACCCCCACCACTGCGGTGGGGTGGCCTGCCACCTCAAGGGCAGGGGGCACTGGCAATACTCTCTATTGTTGCCATTCATTCATTCATTCATTCATTCAAAAGTTGTGCGCCGGGCACTGTGCTACAGACTTAACTCTCCAACTATGACTCACCAGCCCATTCTGATACCCCACACCGCTGTCCCCATTTCCAGCCCTAGGCCTCACTCACTCATCAAGAACATGCTTATTATAGCCTCTCTCTCCCGGGTTCCCAGGCCAGGGTGACAGGATAAAAAGCCGGTCAGACCAGTGCCTTTTCAAGAGCAAGGAAGGCGGGCTCGAAGAACGCAGAGAAGGGGTTCCGGGGACCCTCTTGCCCGCGCGAGGAGAGCGAGCCCCTACTCGGGCGGCCGCGCCCCGGGGTGGGGCTGGGCTCACCACGCTCGGACGGGGAACCTGAGGTCACTTCGACGCTGGAGGCGAGGGGAGTTCTGTGAAAGAGGAAGTGGTCGCTGTAGGAAGCCTGATGGTGGCGGGAGGCTAGAGATTACACTCGTACACGTGCAGAAGACCGCTTCCACCTCGGTGGTGAGGAGCAAGGGTCCGGGCAGGAATGAGGAGGGGCGGGGCGGGTTACCTGATGAAAGTGGTCTTGCCCGTGCTGTACTGGCCCACCAGAAGGATCATAGGCTTGTTCTCGAAGTCGGCGTCTTCCAACGCGGGCGAGTGGAACTCGTGAAAGCGGTACGCCTCCTCCAGTGGTAGCACCTTGCGCAGGTAGAGCGAACGCAGGCCGCCCGTCACCGTTTGCACGGCGTCCGCGCCGCCCGCGCGCTCGCGCCCACCCGCCTGCTTCCCCATCCAGCTGAACATCCTGCCGTCGGTCCGCGCGTCTACCCGTCCGAGCCTCGCGCTCCCACCCAACTCCTCGTTCGACCCTCCCTAGCTAGCACTGAGCTGTCCCAGCTGTGCTCTCCGCCACTCGAGCTGGCCCCGCCTCACGTCGTTGCAACCAATCTCCAATCGCTACGTCACGAGCTCTCGCACTATTCAAACGAGCTCTCTCAAGCCCTTCCTCATTGGGCCGCTGCCAGCGCGTGTGGAGGTGTCAGCCAATGGAGAGGAGGTTCTTAATGAATTATTGATGACGGAGTCAGTCTGGAGAACTGTGGAGGGGAGAGGGTGTCTCTCAGGCTGGGTGACGCACACCCAATAGACGAGGGGTCTCTCTAGTACCCGGGTCTCCGCTTCTGGCCAGGTGGGATCGTCTTCCGGGCAAATCTGAGCTCGGGGCGGAGGGTGGAGGGTGGGGAAGGAACCTCTGGAGGCTGCTTAGTCTCCTGGAACGCTCCCTCTTCCCCGCCCCGTAGACGTCGATACTAGAGACAAAAGTTCACGAAGTTGACAGGCAGGTTTCTTCTACCCGCTGGCAGGTTATTGTTACCTTCATTTTATTGGTGAAGACTTTGACTCACGGACATAATAGACAAAATTTGAAGTAGGGGAAGTAGACTTCAATCTACATAGGTACAAGTTCCTTTTCAACAAGCTGCCTCCACTAAACCCTGGATCGATTGAAGGCCATGTACCCTTAGCTGTCTTTATTTGACTTTCTGTAAAGTTGAAGATTTAGTCATCCTCACTGATTACCCATTTCCACATTTGACATGTAAAAGAGTTAATGTTACCTCCCAGCTGTCTTTTTTTCAGGTAAAAAAAAACCCCACTTACCTAAATTGAGATTGGAAGAAATAATCAGCCATCACTGTGGGGTCATAGGTTACAATTAAAAAAAAAATTTCTTAGTTGTTTTAGAGCATTTCTCAACTGTGACCCACGGAGCCACCTGCATAAGAATAACCTGGGATGCTTGTTAAAATGTGGATTTGTGGTCCTCACACAAGATTTGCTGACTTAAAATATTGAGTAGGAATGGAGCTCAACAAAGGCGCCAGGTGATTCTGATATATCCTACATTTGGGGAAATATGATGCACAACAGTACTTCTCAAACTTGATAGAAATGCAGATTCTGATTCAGTGGTTATGGGGTGGGACCCCAAACTCCCCATTTCTAACCAGCTTCCAGGTATTGCCAGTGCTGCTTGTCCATGAACCATAGTTTGAGAACCAAGGCTGTGGTGAAAATACAACAGGACTTCGCATCAAAACCTGGGGTCGAATCCTGATTATATAAGTTAATGGCTATGTGACCTTAAATGCAATATTACCACTCTGCCTTAGTTTCCTTCTTTGTAAAATGGAAGCTCCTGTAGAGTTGTGTGGATGAAATACTTAGAGGAAGCTTAGAATGGAAGAAAAAAAAGAAGAATGGAAGAAAGCCAAGAAAAAAATACTACTAGATGTTGGCCTCATGTTAATATAAAGATTGAAATGTAAAAATAAAATGAAACCTACTAGAAGAAGATACAGTGTAGATTTATAAAATTTTAGGAGACAAAAGCCTTTCTAAACAAAGCCAAATAAATTATGAAAGAAAAGGTTGGTAGATTTGTCAACAAAAATGAAAAATATTTAATGCATTTTAAAACATACATAAAAAACAAACCCATATAAAAATACTCTTACCATATGATCCAGAAATTGTGTATTTTGTTCTTAACCAAATAAGTTTAAAAGTGAATAGATACAATTGCTATGGAAAACATAGCATATGGTGATTCCTCAAAAAATTAAAACTACCATATAATCTAGCAATCCCACTTTTGGGTATATATCCAAAAGAATTGAAAGGAAGGTCTCTAAGAGGTATTGTACACCCACATTCATAGCAGCACTATTCACAATAGTCAAGGGGTAAAAGAAGCCCAAGTGTCCATTGATGTGTGAATGGAAAAACAAAATGTGGTATCCTACTATGAAATATTATTCAGCTTTAAAAAATAAGGAAATCCCATCACATGCTACAATCTAAAACCTTGAGAACATTAAATGAAATAAGCCAGTCACAAAAAGACAAATAGTGTGTGATTCCACTTACTTGAAGTACCTAAAGTAGTCAAATTTATAAAAACAGAAAATAAAATGGTTGTTGCTAGGGGCTGGGAGGAGTGTGAAATGGGAACTTGGGTTTAATGGGTAGGTATAGAGTTTCAATTTTGCAGAATGAAAAAATTCTGGAAATCTGTTGCACAATGTGAATATAATTAACAATACTGGACTGTACACTTAAAAATGATTAAGATGGTATATTTTGTTAAGTATTTTTAACAAAATTTTTAAAAAAGCGAATGTATAGAATTTTTGTGCTTTTGTAAAAAATAATTTAAAGTATCCAATGAAAAGATTAGAAGGAGAAACACCCTCATTAGTAATGATCTCTGAGTTGGAATGATAAATGATTTTAGTTTCCTTTTTTATGTGCTTTTGAATTTTTGAAATTTACACAATAATCATGTTCTTGATTTATAATCAGAAAAAAATATTTAAGAGAAAATTGTATTGACCTTAAATCCTAAAAAAGAAGGAAGACACACCATTATGTCTTTTTTTTTCTTTTCTGTCTTCTTACAGCCACAGTGTGTCAGCTTTCTTGTTATTGTCTGTCCTCTGTGGAGTGGGGGAGCTATTGATGCTCCCCAGGACAGTAATCTTGCATCCATTTGCAAGTTGTGATAGTCTTTTAGTCTTCTTTCTTCAGACTAAACAATGTCAATCTCAGTCACTTTTTTAAAAAAACATTTTATTTATTTATTTTTAGAGAGGGGAAGAGGGGGAGAAAGAGAGGAAGAGAAACATCAATGTGTGGTTGCATTTCACGCACCTCCTGCTGGGTACCTGGCCAGCAACCCAGGCATGGGTCCTACACTGGGAACCGAACCACCTACCCTTTGGTTCACAGGCTGGCACTCAATCCACTGAGCCACACCTGCTAGGGCAATTGATCTCAGTCACTTTTAAAATCTGAATTCAATTGTTTTTCAGGTTAAATCTTGTTAAAGACAGTTCTGTAGGGAGTGATATTGCTGCCTGAAAATGTGTTGTATTGAATAATTCTTAAAATAAGTAACTTGATAATAAGACTTACAACTTTCTTTGCTATATGAAAATTATAATTGTAATATTTGTGGAAGTATTTTTTCCTCCTTCTTCTTGGTAATTTGATGGTCACAGTTTTGCTGTAGATCATGTCTAGCATCTTACTCTGATAACTTTAAATTCCAGAGTGGCTAAAGACCTGAGAGACAGGTAATAAGGAGATTAGAGGAGGTACTTTTGCCTGGAAAGAGCCCCCTTCACTCTCAGACACGCTTCTCCTTTTTCTGTGGCTGTTTATCCAGATTACTGCTGCCACTTGGAGATGTACCTTTTAGGACATGCAGATGGAGATGTCTAGTAAGTACTTGCAGCAAGACTGCCGATTTTGTATAAATTGTCCTTCTTCAATAATAAAGTCTCATTTTTAGTTGGGCACATTGCAAACGAGGTAAAAACAAAATTTTCTAGTCTCCCTGCTCTTAAATGTCATCATGAGACCAAGTCCTAGTTGCTGATATGTTACCTGAAGAAAGTGTGGGACTTGCAGGAAGTCACCTTTAGAGAGAAAGGAGTTCAATCTTCCTTCTTGTAGTCTGGGATATGGATATAATTGTTGGAACTCCGGGGCTCATCCTGGACCACAAGGGCAAGGACTACACAAGGGATGGTAAATCAGAGAGCTGGAGGGGCCTGACGAATCAATGAAGTGCCACACCAGCTTTGGACTGCGTCCCCATGGGCTTCTTTTTCATGAATGTATTTAAGTCACTATTTGTCAGGTCTCTGCTCAAGACTTTTTTTTATACTAATAGTTTATTTCTCTCCTTTTTTTTCTTGTTAATTATCTCAGGATTTATTTATTTTTATATTAAATTTATTTATTTTTTCAAATGCATTTGTCTCTGCCTTCCCCCCACCACTTTCCCTTGCCCCCTCCCCCTCTCTGTCCCTCAATCCTTCCCCTTTGGTTTTGTCCATGAGTCCTTGCTATATGTTCCTTGACTTTCCTCTTCCCTCTCTGATTAGAGGGGAAAGTCAAGGAACATATTCTGCTCAAGATTAAAGTAACTCCTAACTAACATGGAATTTGTTACTGGAAATGGAATTTGCAGTAATAGAACCCAAAATGTGACATTCACTTAGTGGAAGAGGAGCAAGGTCAATTTTAAGGATTCAATTATTGCAGTATAATAACTGCAATATTTGGGATTTAAAACTCGACTATACATTTTGTTGACACACTCCTATCAAGAAATGGGATCTTCGTCCCCTACCTTTAAATCTAGGCTGGCTTGTGAATCCTTCTGCCGACAGAGTACAGTGGAAGTGATGCTGTGGGACTTCTAAGGCTGGGTCATAACACTCCATGCGGCGGCCACTGTAACATCCTCTCTTGGAGCCCTGAGCTGCCGTTTAAGAAGACTGACAATTCCGAGACCACCATGCTGGGGAGACCACATGAAGGTACTGTGACAGACAGCCAATCAAGTCCCTCCTGTCCTTCATCCTCCCCAGGCTTTCCTGCCCAGGCACCAGATATGTGAATGAAGTAGCCATCCCAGAAGTCGATCCTTCAGCCTCATCCTGAAGATATTCCAGACCTTAACCATCTGAGTCCTGCCCAGCAGGTCAAGTCATTTGAGCTGAGGCCCCGCACATGGAGCAGATAAGAGTTGTCCTTGCTGTACCTTTTTGAAATTTCTGACCCACAGAAACTGCAGGCATAATCAAATGGCAGTTTTTTTGTTCTTGCCATTATACTTTTGGGGGTTTTGTCACTCAGCCATAGATAACTGGAACAGCTGGTAATTTTTATTACCTTACTAGGATAAAAGTTTAGTTTTCTTCCACAGAACAGAAGTCCAGAGCTAGGCAGACCAGGACTACTTTGGTGTCTTCAACGTCAGTAAAAGTTTGGACCCCTTTATTCTCCCTGCTGCCTGGAATGTGGGCATGATGGATAGAGCTCCAGCAGCCATAATGAACCAGAATTCTGACAAACTTGAGGATGGCAGAAACAAGAGCTGAAAGGAGCCGGGGTCTCCGATAAGAAATAAACTACTGTCTTATAATTTTAGATCATCTGTGTTGTGTAGTGGAAGTAATGCTAACTAATATAGAATTGGAATACATGCATCAAGAACTTAGGAAATCAGTTTGGCTAGAGCTAAAGGTTTCAGAGTGTTTAAAACAAAAGCAGTAGTTGAAGTCCTGGGTGTATATGAGATTGCTTTGGGAGAGTATAGAGTGACAAGAGAGGAGAGCTAAGGAGAAAATCTCAAGGAATACCAGCATTTAAAGGAGAACAAGGGAGGTGGAACCAGGGAAAGGGCTTGAAAGTGGGAAGAAATCCAGGACAGACGGTGTCCAGCAAACCTAGACCCTTCCTTCTAGGGCTGGGTCAGCAGCCCCTAATGATGCCCCCTGCATACACAGCTAATGTGGAACTTTTCCTTTGTATTGTAAGGCTCTGTTTCCATGTGGACCGCCTATATGGGACCAGAAGGAAGCTCTTTGAAGTGTGGGGTCAATTGTTAATCCTTTTTTTTTTTTGTCCTAGTACCTACAACGGTGACTGGCACGTGGGAAGGCAATAAAAATTTGCAAGCAGAACTGAATTGCACTGCTGTTGGCAGGAAATCATGGGAAGGGAGGGTTGCAGGAAGGAGGGAGTGGTCAGCAGTGTGAACTGCTGACATCAAGTAAGATAAGGCCTGTAAAGGGCCAGTGCCATTTGATGCAGGGTATCTGGAAATTGGAAGAACATTGGTGACCGCAGGATAAAGTTATCTCATGGGGACACAGAAGCAGAACACATCTGCTATGGGCCAGGGTGACTGGGTTGCATGGCAGTATGGTATGCTGGCCGCCCTCCTGGGAAGGAAAAAGGAGACAAGGAGCAGGCATACTGGGGGAGAGAGGAATTTTATTTAATTTTTCTATTTAATCCTGTTACAGGCAGAGAGCAAGGAACCTGGGAAAGGAGTCCCCCTGTCTTCTCCAAGACACTGTGCCCTTGCCCCTCTCAGGACTGATGACACTTTGTCCTTATCCCTTGTGCAGCCCTTACTCATTTTCCTGCTCTGTAACATCACTGGCATTGTTTTAGAAGCTTAGTCACTGTTAAACTTCTCACATCCATATAAAAATCTTTCCATGTTTTTTTTCCCCCTCAACCCAACTCTAAGTTCCTGGAAGGCAGAGGCTGTTACTGACTTGATCACTGGGCACTAAGTAATTGCTTAGCTGGTGCTGGCTGCCCTTCCTTCCTCCCCACCAGCACTTCCTGAAAACCATTGGAGTTTCAAACAGCATGGGTCAGCAAGAATGGGTGCCCTACTGGTTGCTGACAAGGCTTCATAAAAAGAGGAGCACCCCACCACAAGAAGGCAGGGACTCGTGGAGGAGAAAAGAAAGCTGTCTGGGAGAGGAGGGATGGGACCGAGATGTCCTCCTGATACCTCTGGCAGTGGCCAGGCAGGAACGGGAGCAGGAGAATGCACATTTTACAGCATAAGATATAAAAGCAGACAAGTCAGCATTTACCCACATGGCCATTTTATTTTGTGCTCAAATAATACAATGGTTTTAGAAATCTCACTCTACATACTTCGTTGAATCCAAGGCAGGGTTGCTTTGACCTTACAACAAACAGATCTTGCTGTGTGGCTCACTTTGATAATTTAAGGAGATCCCATTTGTTGCAAACGGAAGGAAAAGGTGTCAAAGTGGAGGCAGCTCTGGTGAGGGGAAAGGGTGGCCTCCCAGGAGAGCAATATCTAGATGGGGACCAGTTTCCTAGTTTGTCAATGGCTCAGGGGAGTCAATTGTTTATGCTTTTTAGGCTTATGGGAAAGTATGGCATAAGTCCATACCTTTCAAACTTTAAAATGCGCAGGCATCACCTGGGGCATGGGCATCTGGGCATCAGAGAGGAGGTGGAAATCTCCTTAAAAGGTAGATTGATTCAGTATGGCAGGGATTGGGGTCTGAGATTCCAAATTCCTAACCAGTTCCCCACCACACTTGAAGTAGCACAGATGTAAATTGGAACCTGTCACCACTTGTCTCCTAAACAACCAAAGGACTGCTTAGGAGCATTGTGGCCCAGAAAGAGCAACATGTCTTCCAGGTTTCGTGAGCTTCATGCAGACTACATGCCTTTCTGGTCACACCGTCCATGGCATGGGCATCTCAGTGGCTCAGGTTACACATTTTTAAGTTTCAGCCTGATGAGGGACCTGGGTACTTTGATTTGGCTTCTGTGTCCCAGGGCTTTCCCAGCAATTCATCTGGAAACCATCTCTGAGGATGCCTTTTTCTTCAGGGTTAACCTAGTCCTTCCTGGGTAGCTCCTTCCTAGTTTCATTCTCTCGGGGTGACTTGCCAAGAGCTGGGATGTGCTGGCCATGGTGTTTACGTGATAAATAAGACGAATCCCATTTAGAAATAAATAATCCCATCTGGAAAACAGAGGGGAGGGTGCAAAGAAAGATGAGAAGTGCTCCTGGAGCAGGTCGGTCAGCCTGCGCCCGCTTCTCGGAGTGGACAGCCCTGGGCAGCATCGCCCACCTGATGCCTGGATCCGCTTATCTGCCTAGACACCCCTGAGCTGCATCACAGTTTCTTGTTCCATGAATCTGAGTTGCACACTTGGGCTTTGTCTGACATTTCGTTGGAGCTGAATGCTCAGATGGGGCTGCCTGCTCCGGATCATGGGAGTCACCAGACCTGGCGCTCTGAGTGGCTAAAGAGGAGCTGTTGAAACCCTGCCACCTGTTTGGCTTTGTTGTTGAAGAGACCAGATGTCTCCAGTGCTCCATCTAGATTTTCTAGTATCATGTTATTAATATCCTGATTCACAAAAATAAAATATAATTGCCTATAAAATTCACAAGAATATAATTGCCTTAAAATTTAAAAAGTGTTTTCCCAGAGAACCCAGAGTACAATTCCCCAAGGTCCTCCATGCTAGGAGGCTGAGAGGAGCAGAAAGGGGAGGGCTCTGAGCTCTGGCTCTGAGTCTGAGGTTTCTGGGGAACCAGCCTCCTCCTCAGGCGTCGCTTTTATTCTCTGTTCTGTCGGCATGTGTGGGAGCCTGTGGCTATTGGACTCCTTTCCCTACAGGGAAAGAACTTTTTAAATTGCAGTGTGTATAAAACCCCAGTGCATGCCTTGTTATTTTCCTATGGTCTCTTTCTCTCTCTGTGTGTCTCCCTCAACTTTTTTTACTTTTTATTTTTTTGATAGAGAGCCCAGGCCAGCCTGCCTGCACCTATTGCCAGAGAGCAGAGCCGGCTGTGCAGGCTGGTCAGCGTAGCTGGGTTCCGCGTCTGGGATGGTAGAAGCAGACACAGGATCGGTGAAGCTCCCCGGGACTAATGGACACTGGTTCTTCAGTAGTTTTTTCTTCTCCACCGCCATCCGCAAGGCCTGAAGGAGCTTGTCCTTGTTATTCAGGATGTTGTACTCACAGAGCTTCACCAACTTGTCAAAGTCTTCCTCTGTGTATGTCAGCTCCTTGGTGGCATAGGGAGTTTTGGGGCCATAAATATTAACCTGGCCCTTTTCCAGCTCCTCAGGGCTTCGCTCCACACCTGGAGGAAGCAGAATGACTCTCTATAGACTCTTATTATGTTAGGTTGTCCTTTGACTTGTGCCCTACCTCTCCCCTGCCTGCCTCTGCATGCACAGGTGTACACGCTTGCATGAAAATGTGCACATGCACGCACACTCGCACACGCACACACACATACACCTCTCCAAGCTGCTAGGGCAGGGACGCAGCTTGCCCATCTCAGGATTGCCCTAGCACCAGCACAGTGTCAGGAGCATAGCTGCACACCAATAAATGTTGAATGACTGAGTTTGAGAGTAAAGTTTGACACTCCCAGCACATGAAGGTGTGGGGGTCTTTTCTTTCTTGCCAAATCAAGGCTGACTCAGACTGGAGCTAAGCCAGGCTTCCGATTCATGATATGAGAAGACAGCGCAAGTTTAAAGATTGGAGCTCTCCCTCAAGGGCATCCTGGGCTACACTGAAGACCAGGTTGTCTCCTGCGACTTTAACAGTGACACCCACTCCTCCACCTTCGATGCTGGGGCTGGCATTGCCCTCAATGACCACTTTGTCAAGCTCATTTCCTGGTATGACAATGAATTTGGCTACAGCAACAGGGTAGTTGACCTTGTGGTTCATATGGTCTCCAAAGAGTAAGAGCCCCCTGAACCACCAGCCCCAGCGACAGGAAGAGAGACCCTCAGCTGCTGAGGAGTCCTTGCCCCAAATCGATCCCCCAACACACTGAGAATCTCTTGATCTTGTTTCCATCCTAGACCCCCTGAAGAGGGGAGGGGATTAGGGAGCACTGCCTTGATTGATGCACCATCAATAAAGTTCACTCTACCCCCCCCCCCCCCGCAAAAAAATAAAGATTGGAGCTCTCAGTCCAAGGCTAGTTAGTGGGCAGTGGGAACAGAGCTCAGAGGCGGCTTACCTGGCGCCTTGTACTTTTGGAAGGTGTCATTGATGAGTGGGAAGAAAAGCACAATAGGGGCATCAGGTTCCTGGGAGTTCTCCATCAGGCAGCATTCCTTGAGATGATTATTCCCCTCCTCTTGCAAGTTATATTCGGGGAAGGGGATATTCTGCACTGAGCAGTACTCACAGGTTTGTTTCATTGGCTAGAATATCATAGGAGGACATGTTTGAGTATTAGCAGGGGTGGGGGTGTATAAGAAACACAGATCTGAGATCCAGCTTCCTAATTTCCACAGTTAGCAACTGCTTGGCCTATTTGTGCTATTTTTAGAACAAAGTCAGGTCAGGACTAAGGGCCTGAGGCAGTAGGACTGGTGTGTGTCCAACTGCAAGTTCCTTCTCCATGCAAAATGGACAGAAGCCCTTTTGATGAAGCTTCACCCAAACCCGGACCTGGGGAGATGTGGGGAGCTGAGAGTGACAGGAGCTGAGCCACGGACAGCTGGGGCTGGCAGGCTCCTGGGGTACCTGCCTGGGCTTGGGAAGTGACAAAGTGTCACAGGGCTGCAAAGGACTCTGAGAGGGTATCTTTATAAACATAATGTAACAGAAGGAGCGGTGGACTTAGAGGGTCCAAATCCCCTTAGTCTGCTCCCTGCTTCATGCTCTCTAGCTGTGTGACCTTAAGCAAGCCGTTTACCCTCTCTGTGCCCCAGTCTCCTCAGCTACAACATGGGAATAACTGCAGTTGTGCCATCTACCTCAAAGAGCTGGCTGCTATAAGGATCCATGAGATCACGTGTACCAAAGGACGCTGTCACCCACTCATTTACAAACGTAGGTCATTATCGCTGTCATCCTATCATCTGTCTACACTTTTACTGGCTTCAGGATTGGATTGTATTAAAGTAGACCAGAAATCAGCTTCTTTTCCTTAAAAGGCCAAAACATTTCAAAAGTAAATTAAAAAAAACCTTTGGTCCTGGTTCTGTTCTTTAGTATAATTACATGAAGGGTCTTATTCCTTGGGAGAGGGGGACAGTCTGACTATTTTGGAATTGGACATTACAAGCTCTTGGAGTGATATGAAACTTTAGAATTGACTGGGCTCTATTAGGGTTATTATTTCTTTTTTTAAAGACCCATTTTTTGCAGCTGAAGAATTGCCAAATATGGTAAACATTCAGAATCAAGAATTGGAATTAGCTCAGCAAGTCTTCCCAACCCCCCAGGCCCCACGGCATGTGAAGACCAGCTGGCTGCCCCCTGAGGTTTGGATGGCTCCCCTCCTCCTGGCATGCATTGTTGCTTGAGTTTCTCTGATGCTAAATATTGGAGCCTGTAGGGGGCGCATGTGCTCCCATTTCCCAGTTTATGGTACTCATTCAGTGGCCTGTCTCAGAAGAGGAGAGCCTTTTACTACCACACTTGCCTTTGTCTGGGACCCGGCACTATAATTGAGGTGAATGATGAGGTCGGCTTTTCTCTCCTCCCTGAGGAGGGGTGGGTAGCTGGAGTTGATGAAGAATGCGGTGTCCAGCAGACACAAGTGGTTCATGGACTGTGTCAGCTGGTTCGGGAAGCTGTCAAGCACAGTGTCTGAAATCCAAGGCTTGCAGTTACCATCATACCCTGGCGCCCTGATCTCAGCAGGTGGTCAGAGGTACCTGGCAAGGATGGAGCGCCCTGCCCAGAGCTCACTCACCTCACCCTGGACCTCCAGCCCCCAACTTCTGTCCAGGATACCCACGTGAGTCAGTGCCCCTTCTGGGTGGGCTGATAAAGAAGCGTACTGTCTTGGGGTTTTAACAAGGCTTTTAAGGAATATGCTCAGAAAACCCACTTCGACTCAGCCACAGGACTTGTGGGGTAAAAAAAGGGACGTAAGATTATCCTATAAACTTGTACAAACTTGGGACCCAGAGCCAGTTGCCCTTGCCGCCCAGACAGTGAGGACAAGAGTTATTAGGCCAGGCCCAAGCAGCCATTTGCAGGCTGTGGCCAGATAAAATACCAAAGGTAGTACAAAATCAACCTCAGAGCCTTAACATGGTGGGGAGGGGGCGCTGAGTGGAAGCTGCAAGACCAAAGTCTAAGGCTTGGCTCTGCTACTTCCCACTTGGGCGATCTTGAGCTGGGCCATCCCTCCCCAACTCAAGGTGGCACCATTCACACGAAAAGGTGCCCCCAGGGCACAACTGCAGAAAGTTAGGGCCCATATTTCCTCATCTGTAAAATGGGCCAACTTCTACCTGTCAAGATTTTTGTACAGATTTTGAATAGAGTTGTTGTACAGATTTGATGAATTAAATATGTATACTGCTCTGCCCACTGTTCCAGGCTTCACCCAGGAATATACCATGGGGGGAGTCTGCCACACTATTTCCATTGCAGCCTCGATATCTACTTTTTCTTCCTCCAAACAGAGGCAGGCCTCAAGTAGCAGCCAGGTAGGGGTACCTTTCCACTTGGAGAACTGGCCATTCTGGAGGTAGTCGGTGTGCAGCTGCAGCCCCAACAGGAAGTTGTGGAACTCAGACGCAAAGGATCGATAGGTGAGGACGTTGCGGAATGTATTGGACAGCCACGACGCTGGGGTCACCACAGAGGTGTCCAGGGCATTGGCATCACATTTGGGGATTTCAGGAAGGAGCGGTTCATCTTCTGCGGGGAAGACGGGGGTGGAGAGCAGGTCACAAGAGTTGGGGTCCCAGACCGCTCAGGGGGAGCCCTGTACGGTAGCCCAGCACCCAGGGGTGAGATTTGTCATCCACATCTTCCTAGCCTAGCTCTCAATGCCCTGGCATTGGAGCTGGAGCACCCATGAGAGAGACATAGAACAGGGCCTAGTGGGGGCAGGGAGGTGACAAGTAAGGACAGATCCCAGAGAGGATGGTCTAGATGAGCAGCCTTTAACTGTGCTCATAGATCCCTACAACTCTTCCGCTCTCCTGGGCACTGCACAGCTCTTCCAAGCTTACTACACAGTGGATCCACTCCCCAGACCACCTAGAGCTGGCCCCTGGGGGCTTGTGGCTGGGCCTCGCACATGTGTCTTCACCTACAATCAGCCTGTCCCCCAGGCAGGGAAGACCCTCTAGCGCTAGCTGCCTTCCATGTTTGTGGGCCACAGAGATGGTACTAAAACCCACGGCAGGTGGACTAGTCCTCGGTGTGTGATCCGCCACTCTCCATTCCCGCCCCCCGCTGTCACCCGGCCAGGAGGGAAAGCCAGAGTGTCACCCACCGATGTCTTGCACTTTCTCCCTTGTCCACCTGTGGAAAAACTCTTCTGAGGATCGGACAAAATTCCAGACATCAAGCAGGTTCACAGAGAAGATGCTGCTCCATAAACCTAGGGACAGGGTGAGCTCTGAGCATCTCTGTCCAAGAGCCCCCAGACCCACCCAAACACTGACTGGTTCTGCTTTGGCCTTGCCTCCCTCTCCACATCAGGCTGCTCAGAGGGTAGGGTAGACTTTGATATCCCTCTTCCCACGGGTGTAGCTCAACCCAGATGACTGATAATCCCAGCTCTTAGCTCTTCTCCACCCTCTTCTCAGAGCTGGGAGAGGATGTGAAGGCACATAAAGCACAGCCCCAGCAGAGACCTAATTCTGACAGGAGCAGGCTTCAAGTTCAAGTCCAAATGCCCACTCTTGTATCAGTGAATACAATAGTTTAGGACAGTGCCTGGCACATGACGAGCACTTGATAAGTGTAATGCTATCTCTTATTATCATGACTTTAAAATGCAACACATTAATAATAATACCCATGAAAACTTTCATGTATGTTGACCCTTTCGGATCCTCATAAGATAGGTTTTACTCTGAAGTTCAATTTACAAATGAGAAAAATGAGGCTCAGAGAGTTCAAGCCAAAGTCACTTCTCTTAAATGCAGATCTCTGAACCATGTGCTCAATAGCATAGGTGCTTAGAGGAAGGAGAGGCCACCATGGGCTGGGGGCTTCTGGGCAGGCTTCACAAAAGATACGGGGCTTGATTTGGACTTCTGGGCCCAGGTGGATTGGGATAAATGGAAAAGAGGGGTCTGGAGACAAATAGTTTAAATAAGAGCATAACTGTGGTGAGGGTGTAAAAGTGGGTCTGTTTTCTGAGGTTGCCCTTTGGTAGGTGAAGTTCAGACTCTGAAGGGGAGAACTAAATGAGAGGACATTGCAGACAGGCCCCCGCACACCGTGCTCCTGGCTCTGGAGGACCAGGGGGCACAGGGTTGGGAGCTGGGCCAGGCTTCTCAGTGACTCTGTCTTCACCCTGTGGTCCCCTCTGGCGTCTTGGAGGAGATAGTCTGGCCCCTGGAAGCAGGCAGGTTACTGCCCAGAGCCAGAGCAGAAAAGGGTAGGAGTTCCAAGAAGCTTGCATCTTAGCCTGCCATTCCCAGCCTCACATGGGACAATTCCTGGGGCAGTAGATTTAGCCTCCCTGTCATTCTCTAACTCAAAGGCAGGGGCCTGCCCAACATGGTGCAGGGTTCCCAGGGAACTCTCCCAGCCAGGAGTCACCTAGCATGTAGCACATCCGAGACTCTGGGATCCTCCGCATCAGCCGTCCCATGAAGAACTCAGAGCCGAAGAGCTCGGTGGGGACGAAGGCCCCATACTTCTGCAGGCCCACCTCGTACGGGGAAAACTCGCACCACTCTGCACAAGCAGCAGGACAGGGTGTAGAGTCAGTCTCAGGTAGTACAGCCACACCCTCCCTCCTGGCGGTCGGAAACTGAGCCCCGCTTTGGGAAGACCCAGTGAGGCCGCAGTTCCCCCGCAGGACACATGGGGGCGCCATGTCTAGCTTCTGAGGGCAAGACAACCTGCATGGCTCATTTACTCCTTAAAACCAGATAAATAGGGACAAAAACTGCCCCCCAAAGTAGAGCAAAGTAGGTCTCTAGAGTCACTCCCTCTGGGCAGCTTAAGAAATATCTAGGATCCTTTCCCTCATGGCCTTTATTTCCCCCTTTCCCATCAAACGGCCACCCTGAGAAGCCAGGCAACCCTGCTTCTGTTCCCACTCCCCCACTATCCATGACCCAGGGCAGCAAAGTCGATTTCTTCAGCTGTCAGGAGCACCTTTTGATGTGGCAAAGGTGTGGGGCCCTGGGTGTGCTGGGTGCAGATTGTCTTTGCCTGCTGAAAAAGGACTCTCTTGTGAATTGCTAGTCGTCAGTGTTACCTCTGAAATCCTGGTTGCTTACATCATCCTTCACATTGATGGTGAGGTAGATGGGCAGGGGGTTCTGGCCCTGGCTCAAAGCAGCGCGCTGCTCTGACAGTTTGCATTCATTTCTCTGTGGGGAAACAAAATGGTTAAGGAAAACAAGCAGACAGGCAGCCCCAGGGCAGTGCTGAATAAGGGCAGGCTAGACCTCCTGAGCCCGCCAGGCTGCTGTGTAGTGCCCGGCTGATGGCTGTTAAACCTGCTCTTAAAATGAACTGGTAGAAGGTACACTCATCCTTGGACTATTCACCACCCCCGACATGAGGATGGGGAGGGGAGGGGGGCAGGGAGTGGGCCGGATCTGTGGTTTAGGGCTGTCCCTCAAAGTCCCAGGGGGTTCTCCCCATGTCTTGGGAATCAGAGAATGAAGAGGCAGGGGTGGGAGAGGCAACCGCTGCCCCTCTTCATCTCCATCGTCTTCCACCCACTCAAACTGGAGCAGCTCTGTTTCTCTTATCTGCTTTGCATGTTGCAGAAAATGTATTTGGGAGGGGGAAAGCTTCTTCTCTCCTTTTTCCCTCCCTCCCATCCCCTCCCTCCCTTCCGCCCTCCCTCCTTTCCTTCCTTTTTCTTTCTTTTAGCAAAAGGCTTACAAACTTGGGCCCCAGATAGCAGCCAAGTTCCCTTTAAGTTCCCAGAGAACTGGGCTGTGTACTCAGAGTGGGAGCCCTGCAGGTCAGCTGTGGTCACAGGCCACCCTCCAAAGTGAACCAGCCAGTGTACAAAGGCCAATCGAGGTCTTAGAGGCCAGGTGCTGATCCCAGGCCAAGCAGCTGCCTACCGGGCGACTGTCCATGATTACCCAAGCATGTGAAGGCCACATAACCTGTGTGGGATGGTAAACACATGTGGGCCAAACAACTCTTGGGGCTCCCTTGAAAGACAAACAGGATGCCTGTCCTGGAAGCATAGGAAGTTGCAGACTCATGGCAGAGCCAGTCCACACTCATTGTCAAGGGGACCCAAGGGAAAGGAGCTCTGACTTTTGGCCAGAGTGGAAGAGCAGAGGACTCCTAATGTTAATCCTAGACTTACTTTCCTGGTAACCCTGGCCCCTCCCCACACCGGACCCCAGAGGCAATGCTCAGACTTCTGATGTGGAAGCCCTGGTGCTTTTCTCCTCATCACATGGGACACTAACTCTTATTAGAAATACCAAGTAGCACTTGCTGATGTAATTCCCATTTAAGGAATAGTACAGGACAAGATCAGAATTTAAACCCCATCCTGCCCGAATCCAAAGCCAGAACCTTCAGTCTCCGCCTGCCCTGCTTCATCATGAGGACAGGTTAGACGGTGGGTTATCAAAGGGGGCAGATTGGGGTGGGATCCATTAAAAGCTGTGAGTGCCTCATGTCTGAATCTGCATGATCTAGCATCATTCCTGGAATGCAGGAGGTACTTAATTTGTTGAAAGATTGAATGAAGGAATGAATGCATGTTGAAGATGTGGTTTGGGCCATCCTTGGTTGCTCAAATTGTCTGGGTTTTCTGGAAGAGAAGACCTACTAGAAAATAGTTTGCTGTCCCTCCTTTTTCTGGAAAATTCTAATTTGAAATCAGAACTGCTTAGACACCTTTGGGAATGGGGCAGAGAGCCACAGGCCTGAACAGAAGTTCTGCTTTGGGGCCAAATAGCAACCAAAGTTGGTCATCCCTGGAGCCCGTGAAGCCTGAAGGATCCAGGCGTTAGCTGGGCTCCCCTGGATATCCAGGGCCACAGCATCCCACGGGGTCCTACTCCTCCAGCATGTCCCAAATGGCACTCACAACAGCTGGGTCTCAACACAGCGTGGCCCATATTGCTCAGGTCATTGAATCTCAGAGCAGGAAGGAACCTCGTTGGGCCCATCCTCTCTGTGTGATGACTTTGAGAAGGAGCCCTGATGACCTCTAACTACCGAGAGTGTTATTGAGTGAGGGTCCCAGCTGCCAAGCTCTGAAGTCCATGCTGTTTGTGCTGAGGCCACACTTCCCATGGGCGGCTCCTAGCCCATGACTGAGTGGGGCAGGCCCATCCTGGGGTGTCGGGTGCTTCCCTGATGGCCAACTGGGCTGGAGGACTCTCAAAGGCCTTGCTGAACCTTCCAGACCACACACAGAAGTTTAAGATGCTTCCACCCAGCCTTTCTCCCCCCCTCTCCTCCACTAGGGGTCAGACTTGCATCACAGTCTGAGGACTCCCAGCCTTTTCCAGCTCCCCGCCACCCCATTTCTTCTCTTAGGTGTCTTGATATGGCTCTCAGAGGACAGGCTAGCTTTCTGCAGGGTTGCACCTAAGCCACCCCCAGCAAGTGGGCCTCAGTCATACTCTAAAGGGATGTGGGAAGACAGTCCCACGACCTTTCTCCTTCACACATTCGGGCACCTCACACCTTCTACAGTGCAAGGACCCACCTGCAGATCTGACCTACTCCCTCCTGCTGCGATCTAAGTCCTGACACCCGCATGAGGAAGGGGTGGACAGCAGGCAGGTCAGGGTGTGGTCCAGGGGCAGCCGGGTACCTACCTCATCCCCCAGACAGGCCTCGATCAGCAGGCCCCAGAAGTCTGTAAAGGTGACCTTATAGCCGTCCTTGCTGCGCTGCTGGAGCTCCTCCCGGTATCTGAGGAGCTGGTCTGGGAACAGGGCGGGCATCTTGTCCTTGACCACATGCCTCCGGGCCTCGAGGATGGCAGCCTCCAGGTTTTTGGAAGACCAGTCAGGGTCACTGTACAAGGTAGCCATGGTCCTAGAGAAAGACAAGCATGGCGGGTAGAGCTGAGTCCGCTCTGGTCAACCCCAGATCTCAGCAGGAGAGAAAGTGGGCAGCTCATGGAAAACCCTAGCCTGCCGGGAGAGGAGCCTGGAGGAAAGGGGGTGAATGTTATTACTCATAGTCACAATTGCTACCACTTGATTGCCTGTTGCGTGCCAGGTATTATAGCATGTTGCTTAAGAGTGAGGATTCTGGATCCAGATCTTCCTGTGTTCAAATCCAGATTCTACCACTCACTAGCTACGTCATCTGGGGCAAGTTACTTAACCACTCTTCACTTCAGTTTCCCCATCTGTGGAAAGGGGAGAGTTACGATAATTGTACCTTTTATCTCACAGAGTTATTGTGAAGATGACATCAGTTAATGCAATGCAGCATGGTTAGAGTACTACCTGGCACAAAGTAGCTGCTGGGCTGAGGAGTGGTGGAGCCATCGTTTGGACCCAGGCTTGGCCGATTCTACATCCTGGACTGTTTCCACTCTGCCACAGCAATTCCCGTGGTTATCATGCTGGCTAAATGTTTGTTTCCCCTTCTTCACTTACATGTGGGCAGTGGGGAGGAGGACACCAAAGAATGGCATCCCCTTGGCCCTGGGTCTCTGTCCCTATATGACTCTTCTGGGCCTGGACCCAGCTTTCTGTCTGTCAGGACAGCACGTGGGACCCCACCCACAGTGGGCCCTGCCTGCAGCTCTACAGCTGTCTGCACAGTAGCCTCTTCCTTTATAGGGCTTGTTTCTGGTCAGGGAAGGTGGTGGTTGGTCAGGAGATTTCTTCAACAAAAAGCACCTTGATCTCCATAAGTTTCACTTGGTTACTTTTATACTTTAAAAAAATTTTCAAAACTATTACAAACAATTGGTTTGAAAAGAATCCTTCCCAGTTCTTTCCTAGGCCCGGTATCCTCTGCCATAGAAGGAGGTTATCTTCTTTACTTACTACTCATGGGCAGCCATTTGACAGGGAGCTGAAAAACCTGGGCCTTGGATTCTCACAGCCTGGGTTCAAATACCAGCGATACCACTCACTAGCTGAGTGGCCCTGGGCAATCCCTTTGTTTCTCCAGCTATAAAATGAGCAAACTGACCATCTCCCTCATAGTTTTCTTATGAAAAATAAATGAAATGGTCCATCAGAAACATTCACCCAAGTGCTTGGTACAGAGGCAACACTGCTAATTGCCAGCTATGCCTTCTATGTCCCACCTGGGCGGAGACTCAGGGCCCCTGACGCCCCCGGAGCCCTTAATCTTCCTCGGGTGCTTTGCATCCGCTCACCCAAATGAAAGACACCCTGAGTGCCTCCAGGATGGGGGCGCGGCTTGGGACCTGGAGGGCACAGAGGCCCACCAGCCCCAGACAGAACGAGACACAGGTCTGGCTGAGAGAGAGGCTTCAGGTGGTCAGAGGGCCCCGGCCACCCTGGACCAGCCCTGCAGTATAACTTTGGGGGCCCCTTTCACCATAAAAACATTAGCAATTTTCTTTTATTCCTGTTGTATAATGACAAATACAGCACTACTCTTTACTAAAATATTTTCTTCAACCTAAAAGTTCATTTTTTTTTCCTTCTGATCTGAAAAGAAAACATTTCTGGGGGGTCCTACAAGGACCGTGGGACCTAGGCACTGCGGCTCCTGTGGAGCCGCTGAGCTCATGCTGGTCTCACCTCAGGGAGCCAAGTTCTCACTCTCCTTGCTCATCAGCAGACTGAGGAGGTGGGAGACTGCAGGGCAGAGGGGGTGGGCGGGCATGGGTGGTGAGCTGGACTGTGGGCAGCCAGGGCCTCTGGGCCAGCTCCACCTATCCTAGGAGACTTGGCACCTCCCCACGCTAGGAGAGACTGCGTCTCCCCAGCAGGATGGGACCGGTGGGACCAGGAGTGCACTCATAGTTGGCCACCATGCTCCCGAGTCCCTGCGCAGCCCCAGGGAAACAGTAATGTCAGTAATGACCAATATGTATGATGTGTACAGCATTTCTCATGTATCCAGCACAGGGAGAGCCTCTCCATCAGCCTCATGAGATCAGTACTATTATTACCCCCGTTATCGAGGCTCAGAGAAGTTGAGCCGCATGCCCAAGCTCTCACAGCTGTAAGTGGTGGGGCTGCCCAGGATTCATGAGTCATTCTAACAAGGGGTGAAGGGAACTTTACCAGAGACTCCAGGCCCATCCTTTTGCCATTTGCTCTGGGCTCCACCAGAGAGTGGCCCCCTGTCCCTTACCAGGTGGCCCCTGACAGGCCTGTAATGTAGCTGGCACAGTTCAGGAGGTTCAGCTTCTGCAGCCCCAGCAGGTGGCCATACATGGCGGTCATGGATCTTGTTCCACCCCCGGTGGCCATGATGGCTATGAGCGGTACCTGGGAGTACAGAGAGGCAATGCTGTGTGGAGAAGCCTTGGGGAGACAGATGGGAGCTGAGAAGGAGGAGGGAGAGCTGGCTACGCAGAGCAGAGAGTGGGGCACCGAGTGACCTTCGCTCCAAGCCCAATAGCTAGTGTCAGTAAAGGGCTCTGAAGCCTTACACTGACCGGCTTGGTAAATCAGGAACTCGTGGCTGGGAAAGTTCTTAGCACTGTTAGTCTAGCCCTCAGTTAACGCATGATGAAACGGAGGTGCAAGGGGCTGGGTGTCTTGCTTAATAACCCAGCTTACATACAGTTCCTTAAAGGCTGCAAGCTGATTATTGTCTAGAAAGGGATTTGATGTCAGGGCACCAGGCATGGTGCATGGTCTGCACCCAGTGAACACCCTATGTGTAAGAGCAGGGAGAAGTGAATTCCCGAAGGGGGAAGAGGCAGGGTTGTCACCTCTGACTTGACATGGGTTTACTATGTGTTCCCTTGGTTTGTTAGGGAGGAGGGGGCTCTTTGCCAAGACTCACTCTGTTTTCATTTGGCTAACACTCTGGCACAAGCCCTCCTCAGGCATGAGGCGTCCATCCACACCTATGGTCAGCCTTGGCCGCAGGCTGCTTTGAGGGCTGACCTACTGCAGGGGAATGTGGGCTCAGTAAACACTGGGAGGTGACAGAGGCTCTAACAAAGACACCACTGTCTGCTCCATGGGAAGAAGCTGGCCATGCAAGTGGAAGCTGCTTTTCTTCAGCTGCCGCCTGCTGTTCTTTCTGGGTGTGTTTATATGTGTGCATACATTGGGGGAAGGGAAAGTTGAAGGATGAAGGGCCCAGGGTCCTCTGGGTGGAGGTATGCAGTATGAGAGGAGCTAGAGATTCACACGTTTTCCTGGCTGGCAGAGGAGGCCGTTTTGTCACCTCAGGATCTCTTAGTGCTCCTTCCTTTCTCTCTCTACTCTGCTCTCCCCTCCCCTGGGGAACACGGTGGAATCATACCCAACACAGCCCTTACCTGAAACCTTAGCACTAAGAGCAACCAGGAAAGGCAGCGCTGAGGCTGGCCTGGGCAGGGAAGGGCTGGGGCAGACGTCAGGGTGTAGTGTTGGCAGGACAAGTTCCGAGCAGACCCTGAGATCGGGCCGGCCGACCTCTGTGCACCCACCTCGTCCATCTGCAAGTCCTCCTCCAGCTGCAACACCCGCTTCAGCGCCTCGGCCACCACCACCTTCCGCTTCTGCAGGAACTCTAGCTCTTCCGGGCACAAACTGTAGCCCAACCGCACGTCTAGCGTCTGGGGGCTGTGGGGACAGAGGACCTTGGCTGAGCAGGCCTATAGACTCCACTTCTATGGAGAATATGTGGCTTTAGGGTCTCTGCTTTCTCATCTGTAAAAGGGGTCTAATCATGCTTAGCTTCCAGCACTGTCTTTAGGACTTAATGAGATAACAAATGTAAAGTCCCCAAAACCTTAGCTGGTGCACTGTAAGCAGGTCCTCAACAAAATTAGGGGCTCATTGAACCATCTGCCTCCTCAGCGAGATCTGCAAAATCCAGGAAGTCACCTTTTGTCGACTGAGGGCAGATATGGCTGACAAGGGGCACTGAGATCCTTCTGGCATTCTCTCAGGACAAGGCTCTATAGTAAGGGCTTTTCTGAGATGGATAAACACGGCCCTGTTCTTATGGAGCTCACGTTCTTCCTTAAGCTCTCCCTGCTCCAGGAATAATCATCATCCTGTGTGTTTGTGCAGTTGACAAAAACCCGTCACCTCCCTGATCTCACCGTGTCATCTGCCAGGTCTGCAAGGCAGGTAGGGCAGGAGCTGCTGCAGCACGGCCAGCACTTGCCTGTTTTGTATCACATCCCTGCCCTGAACAAGTCCAGGCTCCCAGCCTGGCATCCAAGACCCTACGTGATCCAGCTACTTCCTGGAAGGGCTCCCCAGCTCTCAAAGCTCAGAAGCACTTTTGGTTCTGAGCCTTTGCACAGGTCCTTGCCTTCTCTGGAAGCTTCCTCTCCCTGACCTCCTACATCCCTTGCATCCTCCAAGGCCCAGTCCCTTAGTGACTCCAGGTGAATGGACCTTGACAGTTTTCAACCTGAGTCTTAGTTAATGACCTGAGTCACGAACAAGGTCACACCTCCTTGATGGCAGGGCCTGGGAGCTCTTCCATCATATTTTTGCATGCCCACCATAGACCTGTAGACACAGCTGTGAGGAAGTAACTCTTTCCTTGACCCCAGCAAGGAATGGGTAATATAACAATGATAATAATAACATCAGTTGATATTTGCTGAGTGTCCCACTTGTCAAACAGATCAGTGAATTCTTGATACGTGTTATCTATAACAGCTCACTGGATCCTCAAAGCAACCAACAATGGTCAGTATTCTTGGTATTGCTTCAATTTATAGATGAGAAAAACTGAGATGCAGAGAGGTTAGATAACTTGTCTATAGGCAGAGAGCTAATCAAATTGGAAATGAAAATTATGATCACTTGATTTTTGACAAGGGCACCAAAACAATTCAAAGAAGAAAGAACAAGCTTTTCAGTAACAACAAAAAATGTGCGACAACTGGATATCCACATGCAAAGAATGAAGTTGAGTCCCTATGTCACACTGTATATAAAAATTACCTCAGAATCAATCATAGATCTAAATATGAGAGAAACCATAAAACTTTTGGAAGAAAACATGAGAGTAAATTTTTATGACTTTGGATAGATAATAATTTCTTCAATATGATGCCAAAAAGAATAAGAAATGCAAGAAAAAATATAAACTGGAATTCACCAAAAATTAAAATCTCTGTGCTTCAAAGGATACCATCAAGAAGGTAAAAAGATAACCAGCAAAATCAAAGAAAATATTTACAAATCATATATGTGACAAGGTATTTGCAATAAGGATATTCAAAGAATTCTTACACCTTAAAATAGAAGGCAAATAACCTGCTTTAAAAATGGGCAAAGAATTTGGATAAACATGTCTCCAAAGGACATACACAAATGGCCAATAAGCCCACAAAAAGATGTTCAACATCATTAGCCATCAGGCTAATGCACATCAAAATGACACCAAGATACCACCTCACACCCCCTAAGATGAACAAATCAGAGAGACAGACAGAAAGAGGTACTTTACCATGGTGTTGACTTCATATGTAATTCACAGTTCTCTCCCTGGGATGCGAAAGATGAAAAGCTTGTCAGGGATGACAATTCAGAGCCAAGTGATCCCAACCAAAGATATGTAGACTCATCACACTGCTGACTCCCTGACCTGATTCAGCACACACATGTGCACACATGTATGCTCACATGCACACAGGCGTGCACACACATGCTCCATCCCCACTCCCTCTTCTGGATATTACCCTCCCCATCATCCTTAACTTGGCTTCCACACATTCTCTTTGGCTCCACACTGCAGCTCAGCATCTCTTACCCCACATGGCTCCTCTTTCCTGCCCGAGAGACCCATGAGTCACCTCCTCCCATGTGCCCCCCAGGGTCTCCCCATCCCCTTGCCACAGGAGCTCCAGGCCAAGCTGCTCAGCGGGCCCCTTCCCAGGCCCAAGTCCTCACCACAGGAATGGTCATCGCCTGGCCATCAGTGAGGCAATCCAGGGGCTGACTGATAGGGCCATTCTTGTGTGCGCCACAGCAGCAAAGCTGGAAGGGAAGGGGTGGTTTTGTAAGTGGGGGTGAGGGGCTCCTCTGGCAGCCCGCCTGCCCCAGTCCCCCATGCCACCCCCAGATGCCGCCTCGTACCCCGCAGCTCCATTGTTTTCGGGGCATGTCCGCGTGCAACTGGGACTGGAAATACTTGGGGTAGTGGAAGGAGGCAGGGTTTGGGCAGCAGGGTTCCAGGCATTGCGAGATGCGCTGAGTTTGCTCGAAGGACTCTGTCACTGTTACCAGGAGGTCCTTCCCTGGAAGAAGGGACAAGAGGGCTGAGACTCCCCATGCCCCCCAAAGCCTCTCACTTCCCCCATCCCAACTTGGTCCCATAAAAAGCATAGCTGGAGGTGCCCAGGACAGGCGTTTTGAGTTACCTGGGGCACTGATTAAAATGCCCCAGAGAGTCTCATTCTGAAGGACAGAGCCACCGCAGGAATCTGCATTTTAATAAGGCTTGCATGTGATGCTGACAAAAGGCCCTCAGAGATGCTGAGTCCCCTTAGGCTCTGTTTGTCCAGGAGGATCCTCAAATCACCTCCTACTGCACTAAAAGCGGCGCTCTGCACATCACCAGTTGGGGGGAGTGGCCTCTTCCTGCCTTCCCCACCCATGCCTGTGGGGCTATGCTGCTGCCCTCTCTTGGGACAGGCCTGGAAGTCCTTGCATGGGTGGCTTGGGGTGGAGTAGTGGACAGGGGAGTCTCGTGTTTGTGGCTCTCTTAGGTCCCTGCCAGGTACCAGATGCTAAGACTCTCTGTGACTTATCATCTGGCTGAGGAAGGGGCACCGCTAGAGAGGCCCTGAGTGTTGCCAGTGCCCACCCACCTTGCTGCTGACCGTTGACCCAGCCCAAGCAAACCCCTGGTGTGTCCGGGACACGGTGCAGACCAGTGTGGACAGCACTGTCCCATCGACCCCTGACCCACGGTGCTCATCGGGCCTGGGCAGCTCTGAGGGTCCTCTAGATGCCTGGAAGAGCACGCCCCTTGCAGAGGGACAGGGGATGGGGAGACGGCAGTTCACAGCCCGTGCGGGTGATGTGATCCTGAAGCATTTCCTGCCAGGTTCTTAGTTCCCCGGCTGAGCCCCGGGCAGCCCTGGAGCAGGCAGGCCTGGGGCGGTCATGGTCGGGAAGCAGCCCTCTCCCTGCTCCGCAGCAGGCAGAGGCAGCCAAGGGACCCACTTTTCCTGTTCTTCCTCTGCCTTCTGGATTCCGCATGAACCTCCAGGCAGGACACCTGTCGAGCCTGCAACAAAGAAGCGAGGGTCATTCCAAGCACACACCAGCCATCCCCTGCTCTGAGGGACCTGACCCGGGAAGGAGCCTGAGTGGGCAGACTGCACTTTCTGAACCCAATCAAGTCCTGTCACCTTCTTATTCAGAGATCGAATATTTGAAAATGAAACTCTACTGAAAAATCTAGGGTGTGTGGTCACCATTTGCCAGGGGTCACATTCTCAGTGGCAGTTTTGGGGTGGAACCTAAGGGAACTTCCACTTTGAGCTTTGAAAGTGAGTAACTCCAGTGAAATAGTCTTCTCAAGAAGCATAGGTAGGCCAAATTCCTTCACCACAAACTCCCAAAGGCTGATTTTTGGGGAGAGATGTTGAATCCTGGGGTATTAGATACATCTAATTAAAATGGCTGTATGAACAGCTGAATTGTGAAAATCTTTTTAGAACTGAATTTGTGCTTACGGAGAGAGTGGGGCTGGGGAACATGGGACTGAGATTCTGGGAGAAAGCTGCCTCCTAGCGGGTGTTTTTATTGGGGAAGTTCCCAGGAAGGAGGTGTTGTGGCGTGGGATGCCGGATGCTGGGCCCAACTACCCCCTCCTCAGAGGTAGGAGCCCAGCTGCGGCTCCCCCTCGGCCCTTGCCCCTCTGGGCTGGCTTCACTTAGTTTCACTCCTAGTGGATTCTGGGACAGGGCCCAAGCTGGGCCCAGGGTTCTCTCCCACAGTCTGTTCTCCTGAGAGCAACAGCCACATTTGACCCCTGGAATCATAGGAACCTGGGAAGACAATTACCACCAGCACGCCATTGGTGATGAGGGCCTCAGGGGGAGAGGGCCTGCAAAACAAAGCGAGAACTCCTGGTCAGTTATGTCGTTCTTGACTGATCTCTCACAAAAGTGACACAAAGTCTAAATAGGGTCAATAATGAGATAGTAGAGCCTTGCTGGTCCTCATGAAAAATACTGGCTTAAGAAACCTTAGGTTTGTAGGTTGTCAAGGAAAAACCTGGCATACATTTACAATAGAATTTCCAGGAAAAAAAAAAAAAGAGATTTATAGGTTAGAAGGAGTAGAAAAAGATTACCCCCTTCATTTCCCTTAAAGAATAACTCTTCTTATGTCCAACCAGATAAAACACAGAGCTATGAGAATAAACAGGCAGCAAGAAAAGGCCAGACCACCACCTAGAGCAGATGTAAATAGTTCTGGTAGAGAAACTAACCCATTCTCCATTCTGTACTTTGTTTAATCTACATGCTTAACAAACAGTTCTGACCCAGGCAGAAAGGGACCCGGTGAGCAAGAACCGTCCTCGTGTGACAGGCCCCGCATGTAAGTCTCCAAGCTCACACTCAGCAGTACACTTAAGCGCAGGTTGACTCTGTCTCTTGATCAACTCAGTACCAATTTTGACATATTTCATTCTACAAGCCTCTTTCTAATTCAGCCAAGGATGCCCCCCTGCCCTAAAATTCCTGTCAAATTCAGATCTGGAAAAGAGAGCCCAGATTTTCTTTAACTTGAAACAAAGTTGATTTTTAAGTTATTAATCAGCGGTTGATGGGAAGTGAGGCACCTCAAATAAGTAATTCCTCACTTAATGTCCTCTTTAGGTTCTTGGAATTGTGGTGAAATGACATGTAACAACACCAGTTTTAACATAAGCTAATTGAAATAAACAAGAGTTAGTTTTCTATATCATCTCATCATGATAATGAAATGACAAATGACGTTGAGACATTCTCTGAAGACCTACTGTAGTTCCAAGAGCCTTAGGCAGAGGCCTCTCTTAGTGGAATGTGTCCTCTTGTTCTAGCTCATTCCTCTCATCCGCTTCCCCTGCCTGATCAGAAATCCAGGGGGCTCAGCTCTGCCAGGGCTATGAAGAGGGGCACAGCCAGCTGTCCTGGGGGCAGACTTGTCTCCCTGGGCAGGGGACCTGCTGCCCTCCTGCACCACCCCTTCTCTACCTTCCCTCTCTGTCCCCTTGTCCTTCTCATCCTCCAGCTCTTGACCGAATTCCACTTGAGTCCCCAGTACAGTCACACTTCCAGGACCCTGGGTCATTCTTCTAATTGAACATGATGGGAAATAACTTCACGTGTTGGGTCAGCGCCTCCCCCTGACTGGGTCCCAGGGTTGGCTGCAGAGAAGCACAGGGGCCAGCCTCTGCTTTGGGCCAAGATCTGGGGGAGTTTGTTCTAACAGTTCTGGGTCAAGGAGGAGACCTCTTGGTCGTGACCTCTTTCTCAGCCTGGCCTCAACAAGCCCCGATCACTGTGGTGGCAGGAATTCTTCCCAGAGGCCACTCTCAGGAATGCAGGGGAGCTAAGGCAGGGGCTTGGCCAGAGTAGATCTTTAAAGCAATACTGATGTCAGTAGAACAGGATGAGCAGGGATGGGGCCCACCACCTGCAGTATCTAAAAGCTCCCAGTGATTCTAATACACAGCAAAGGGTCTGAGGTGAGTGCCAGAGGGAATGGAAGAGGGAAACACAGCAAAAATCCAGGCCAGGCTGAAATGCAACTTGAAGGATCAGGACCCTTGGGGAGCACTTAGGGGCTGGGGCTTACTCACCTCTTATCCAGCAGGAACTCCACCTCCAGCTCCTCACCCTGTAGGAAGAGGAAGGGAGGGCATCTGTGAGCTGTGCGCTGCCCCAGGAGCCTCTGCGAACCTGCCCATCCTTCCCATGAAACTGTCCTGCCAGTATGGAGTGGGGACAGCTGTTCTTTGACATCAAGAACATCACTGACAACTAAGGGGAGGGTCAGGGTACAGAGATGACCCCCAGCCCCAGCATTCAAACTCTTCTGTTCCAGAATCTTTTCCTTTCTACCTTTTACCTCCATTTCTCTACTTCACATTGCTCTCCTGCCTTCCCGAAGGGCTGTGCAGGGTGCCAGGGAGAGCTGCGATATTGCCCCAGAAAGTTCAACACTGAAGTGTAGGGGCCTCTTCCTTGCCTGTTCCTTTATACCTCCTACTGTGTAACTTCAGGCAAGTTGTTACTCACTGGACCTTAATTTCCCCCACTTAAATGTAATCCAGGAAAGGGCAGGGATGCTCGGAACTTGACGTTCCCAGTGCCTCCAGCAGTGCCTGCTCTGTAGTGGGCATTCAAGTATTTGTTGAATGATTGAATCTATTATTTAACATCCGGGTCCTTTCCAGTTCTGACTTTCTCTGATTTGCATATTTGCCCTCCTTCACTGTCATCTGTCCCCTGTCCCCTGGGGCTATCCCAGCAACAGGATGCTGAGGAAAGGAAAGGAGGAAAAGGAATCAACACTTACTCCATGTCCACTTTATACTGTGAACAGAGCTAGGTGCCTCAGTCACAGTTTCCCACTTAAGTCTCACAATGTCTCTCTGTGGTAAGTACTAATATCACCATTGTAATGAGGAGGAAGAAGGACTCATAGGAATTAAATAATTTCCAGAAGGTCATAAAGCTGGTAAGCAATAGCACTGGGATTTGGATCAGCTGTTATCTTCCCCTGACTTGGTTGTTACACAGAGAGGACCCCTTGGAAAGTCGTCATGAGAACAACCAGCAGCTCTTCATGAGGCAGGAGGTGGATGGGCTTGGCAGCAGCACCCACCTCTGGGCTGAGAGGGAACTTCACATGGGTTTTCTTCCTGAAGCAGAGCTTGGTGAGGTCATAGAACACTGTCAAGAGATGGTCATCTGGTGTCGCTGTGTCTTCATCACAGACGCTCAGCTCTAGCACATTCTAGGAGAGAAGACAGGGGCACAAGTCTGGTTAAAATGTTTGCATGGACCCATTGACTTGTTCCCATTGACCTCAGTCCTATCACGGAGGTGGGTCTGAGGAACAGAAACCAGCACAAAAGGCCCTGCTCAGGTGTGAGAGGTATATGTAGGGAAATGAATTTAGAGAGGAAGGGGTCTACTCCACTCTTTCTAACTCTCTGAAGCCTTCCTGCCCCTCTGCCCTGACTCCCCTGTTAGAGAATTCTGCAAGCTTGGCAGGGGCCTGTGAAGCATGACATTTCATTTTACCTGGGGGAAGGATGGAAGGGCAGAGCAAGCAAGACTCCTGCCAGGATACGGAATGTGTTCAGCACTGGGGACTCAGGAGCTGAAGACAGCTCCTGTGGTGTTAGAAAACCCAGATCAGGAGAGCCGACATCTAATGCTCCAGGGGAGTGACGTGCCAAAGATTATAGACATTCTGATACTTCATGGGGTTGGGTCAGGTGTTGGAACTCCATCCTTTGGCTCATCAACTCCTAATGAGGACTCATGGATGGGCCCAAGGCAGGATGTCAAAGTTGAGCACCTACTCTGTCATCTGACTGAACTCTGAGGTCAATGGTATCAGGTGACATGGGTTAACCTCTGAGGCCTCTTGTTTTAAGGATCCTGGGAGATGTGGTTAGAACTGAGTTGGCCTCTTTGGTCCTTATTTGGTACACATGAGGTGGTTCTCAGCTTTCACAACTGAATGAGATCTATTGACCTTATAATTACTGGAAACCCAGGTATGTCCTAGAACCAACCCAGTAGCCCCCTAGGTTTTTAGATAAAGGAAGCCCCAATTCTGATTTCAAGATGGCTGATTGAGCCCACATCAAAGTCCCCTTCTTTCACAGGAACCATATATATGATAGGTATTTTTAATGCATTAAATATAAAAAGTACTTGTCATGAAACAGAAATGGAGAAGCATGTCTAAAATACGAAACCAGCAAGCTGGATAGCTCCCAGGTCTCAAGGGTCCCAAGACTGGTTGATGCCTCCATGCTGAGGCCAGGTTCCCAGGCCTCATTCCCAGGGTTCGAACCACATATACAGAAAATGAAAAAAAGGCAATAGTTTCCAGTGTCAGAGAGTGGCCACATGCTGAGGCCAGGTCTCTCATCAGGAGCACTCTGCTGAGGCGGTCACAACTCAGCATGCTCAAGGGAGAATTCTCCTGCAAGGAGATGCGAACTTGACTTAGAGTCACCATATATCTGAGTAAGACCAACACCATGAAATAGATTAACAAATGAAAGAACACACACCCAAGGAATTAGAAATAATAAAACAATCTAAAAAGAATTTAAGGTAGAGAAAGCTCTCTGGATGGAATTAGACCGGCTTTGGACCTAGTGAATAGAATGGCTCTTCTGTTCAGTGCATTCTCCTGCTTGGAATATGTTCTGGAAGGTGCCGGAAATACACTCTATTTGGGTGTAGGAGAAACCTAGTTCCAGAAACCATTAGGTAGAAGGACAAGAGAGGCAAGAAAGAAGGTAGAAGGATAAGCAGTCTCAGAGAGGGGCAAATATGAGACAAGCTGAAAGGAGTGGGTGAGAGAGATGATAGGTCAATAGGAGGACAAGAAGTAGGTAGAAAGAAAGACAAATGGGCATAAGAAGGACATATGAACAAAGAGAAGGACAAGCTTGCAAGGAGGGGAATAGAAATGCAGGCAGGGCAGACAGGTGCAGTCTTCCACATCTCACCTTCACTTGGCCCTGGATCTGGAAGTTGAAGCTTTCATCCCATTCTGGGTTTGGGCAGTTGGAGATGGTCCTAGTCTTCAGCTTCTCATGAGAGGCGGTGGGCAGCCAGAGGCTCACATAGCAATCTGTCTGGCTCACTATCCAATGGAGACAAGCATGGGAGGAAAGAGCAAGTTGTCAGTCCAGATCCGGATTGGATAGTGTATGGAGTCAGAAGGGAACTTCAGGCAAGTCACTTCCAGAGCAAGAAGGCCTTGTCTCAGTTTCAGGTCCCCTCCTGACTCATAAGTCTGACTCTCCAGAGACTTTTGTCCCAGAGCCCAGAGAAGGTCATAGATTGTAGGCTAGAGGTTTCACAGAGGGGGACCCAGGTCTCACTGACTGTTCTCATGGACACATATGGCCTCTGGGTCTTATCAGAGGCACCCTGGCTCTCTGGTTTGGGACAAGGGTATGGTGCATAGTTATCTCTCTGCCAGGGAAAGTTCTGGAGGACCAGCCCCAAAGGGTCCAGTTTACCTCTTGCGTTAATCCAAGGTACCAAGGAAACAAAAGTAGGGCTCAGCTCTTCCTCTGGGCTAAGGAGAAGCAAGGATGAGAAGGGACTCAGTTTACTGTGATCAGCCCAGAGGGCCCCAGTGGGAAAGTATTTGGGAAGAAGTTATTCGGCGGGTCTAGGAAAATAAATCACCATCTATATAAGACTAAATATCTCAGCTGCACGGCTGCGTTCTTCATTCCTACACTGATCTTGCAGCATGAGATGTATGGCTTAAGAAACCATCACATGGGAAGCCACAGGCTTTTTTTTTCTTCCATTTGCAATAGATAACCCAAGTGTGCTGATGCCGGCTGTGCTCTGGAGAAGGAACAGAAGCTTCGACCCCAGTAGGTCTTCCCAAAGTGGAAGAAGGCCTCCGAGGTCTTTTGGTTGGAGCACCAGGAGTCATTGGGTGAAAAATGGCAACCCAGCCTGGCTCCCTCCTTCCATTCTACCTGGGAAGAAGGGGTGCCTTGTCACTCCCCTGGCAATCTGCTGGTCTAATTCCCAGGGTTCATACCACATACACAGAAAATGAAAAAAGGCAATAGTTTCCAGTGTCAGAGAGTTCTCTGGATGGTAAAGCTGTTGTGGCCATGAGAGTTCTGTACTGGTAGAACTGATCCAAACTAGTTCACAGTTGCTATTAATAATGTCCTATGAGAGTGAAACCAGATGTGTATCCCTGGACTGACTTGTTCCTACATTGTCACTACACTGAAAACTTTATCAGAGTTAATAACCATGGACTGCATAAGAAGTATCCCTAGCTTCTGATTTTTCCCCAATGTCTGGTTAATCTTTGAGGGGTTACCATTCAGGGAATTGGCATTCACAGCCCTCTTCCCACTAAATAAAGTTGAGATGACACTGTCCTTTACATGTCATAATCATCATTTAATCCAGACACAAAGAATGACCAACACCCAACAGAATGAAGAAAAATGACCTCATTGTCCCCATCATCCGCTCCATGCCCAATCTGCTACTTCTTCATTGTCAACGCAGGTGTCCGGACCAGACACAAAGTATTGTCCTTGACTCCTCCACTGAGTTGACTTAGCTCCTTTGATCTCTCCAGGCCACTCACACCTTACTGGCACTGGCACTGCCTTGGTGCAGCCTCCTTCATCTCTGCTGCCTCTTTCCCACTGGGTACCTTGTCTTCTGATGGGCCCCACTCTAATCTTATCTCTCAAGAGAAACCAGAGGGATCTTTTTAGATCTGACCATGTCACTCCCCAGTTGAAGATTCTTTAGGGGCTCCCATCTGCTCTCAGGAAGGAGTCCCACCCACTTGACACGGCTGCCCTACCCAGCTTCCCCAGCCTCAGCCATATCTTTCCACCCTCCCTGCTCCCCAGCCCCTGCCCTGCCCCCAAACACACACATATGTATGCACACATGCAGGCACACCGTGCTTACACTTGCGCTCAAGACTCCAGCCAAACCCAATTACTTATAGGTCTCAGAAGGTGCCATGCCATTTTGTCATTCCTTCTGCCTAGAATACCCTTCTCCTGCTTTCACCTAACTTTTCCCTTGGCTAGCCGTTTAGGTTTCAGGAGAAACTTCCTCTGGAAACCTTCCCTGAGCCCCCAAGTCTGAGCCAAGTGCTCCTCTTAGCCCAGAGCGCTCTCCTCTTCTCCTGGCAGAGCACTGGCTAACAGGGGACCCTGAACATTGGCAGGCCCAAAAGACCATGTGTCAGCGCTTAGTAGGTAATTGTTGAGTGAATGGATGAATGAATGTAAAAGCCAGACTTCCTGTTATTGGGCTGTATCAGTAGCCCCAGAAATTCTGGCTGAGTCACTGCAGATACAGGTAAGCAAATTGGCATGACTAACCTCTCTGCCCTTAGGGAGACTGAGAGGCCTGCTCAGTCATCCTGGATGTCTCTTGTGTCTCTTTTTGGACACTTACCCTTCTTTCTGGGCCTGTAACACTCTTCTTGAGTCTGCCTCCTGTACGCTAGAAGCCTGCAGGCAGCAACTCTACACTCTACACCCATTTGTTTAGCGTGGTATATATGACCCTATAAAGGTCATTTTCCCTCTAAAATCCCTTTCCTATCATCAGTCCATGCCTAAAATTATCCCATTAAATGCATTAAATAAATCTCAATATTTTTGCCCTGAAAGGCCAGAGCTGATCAGGTACCCTCACTTCAAGTGTTAATTTGTTTTTCAGTCCTTTTGCAGAGAGCTATTCCCACCTCTCCTCATAAGTTGGGAAGAAGGAGAATACAGCCCAAAGAAGAGGTAATCTGGGGGAGGGTGGGATGATGGAGGAAATCCGGATGGCAATAAGGCACAGGTGTCATTAGCTGACTGCAAGGACAGTGACCATCGTGTTTGCAATGAAGAATGGTTAAGCAACAGTGACCCAGTTCTGGGAATTTCAGGGTACAGGGGATTTCCTAGGTATAGATAGGTTCTAATCCTTGTTCCTTTTGGAATGACAGAGGGCTTGGTCATCTGAATGACATATATCCTTTCCTGGAACGAGGGTGGCCAAAATGACTCAATAATCTCTATAGATGTTGAGAACACTGTCTCCTTAATACCTCCAGAGACACCTGCCTCACCCCCTTTGGGGGCTGGTTTGCATTTTAATTTATTTTCCCAAAAGGAATAAAAACATTTGACAGCTGGGAGGTTTCTGGGCTGACTTCCTCCCAGTGCTGGCCCACATCTGTGTGGCACGCCTTCTGGTGAGGGAGGTTGTTCCTGAATCTCATCCCTCAATCTCTTCTTTTTCAGGCTCCTTGGACTCTTGGAAACTCAGACAGGCATTAGAGGCTGAACCAGAAAGGAACATGCTTTTGATACAAGCCAGAGGGGAACAATTTGGGGTGAGGGTAGCCCAGAACCTGGAAGATATCAAGGTAGTCTCCAACCTTACCAGGTAAGGCAATAACAGAGCCAGGCTGGTGACGACTGTGAGGTCCAGACGCAACATGACTGGGCTGGCTCCCCCAGACATCACGCATGCCCCCAACACTGTTTCTTAAGGGAAATGAAGAAAACACAGCTAAGGGTGCTCAGAGGGGACCAGGTACCCTCAAAAGGCAGCCCGTGTGCCAAGGCACTTGTGAGGAAGGGGGGAAAGGGGTGGTAGAGCCAGACCTCAGCCCGTTTTTCTGGCTGTCTGCTTCCCCAGCCCCCGATCTCTGATCATGTGCATGCAGGTATATGCATACTGGGTGGCTTGCAGGGCAGGGGCAAACGTGCCTGGAGAGGAGTGGAGGCAGGTGCATGCAGCTGCGGGTGTGAGAGCTGTCCCTGAGGGGTATGAGGGGAAGTGTAGCATGGGCAATAAAGGTAAATGAGGTGGCCAGGCCCCAGGCCCGTGGGACACTTCCACAGTCCTCCGATACTCACTGGTGGGCTGGAGGGCCTTGAGAAGCCTGAGGATCAATTCCTGCCCTCTGCTGGCCCCTTTGGCAGTGCTAGGCCCGAGCTGGACACTGGCTAGAAGTGCTGCTGCTGGAATGGGCTCTGGACACTCACCATCCGGGGAACTTGGTCTGAATCCTGCCTGATCCCTTTGCTTTATCTGGGGCTCCAGGGCCCTCCCTCTGCCAGCCTCCACACTCATTCCTGCACTGCAAGTTTCTCAGCCTCTTCCCACCTGTGCTCCAGCACAATCTGTGTAGGAGCCTGGGGAAGTCATGCAACCCCTTCCTCGAGGGCTCAGGTGCCCATCATTTAGAGCCTGATCTTTCCGCTGCCTGGCTTCCTCACCCTCTACCACTGGCCCCAGCCTCCTTCTCCTGCCTTCTCCCTTCTACTCTCCAGCTCTCCAGACCTGGAATCAAACACTTTCCTTAACCCTCCTGTGCAAAATGGGCCTCACAGAGCTACCCTCAGGTTGTTGGTGTACCCTCAGGATTGAATGGTGTTTGGACACACGGCCCGAGGCTGGCCCGAGGCTGGCCCCCAGCGGGTGCTCTAGGGATACAGTCCCCTCTCTCCTTCAGGATGCTCCCTGCCCCCAGACTGGGCCTCTGGATGCTCACACCCTGCCCCTCTCAGACCTAGGGCCCCTGTGCAGCCTGTCTTAGCTCTTTGCAGTTTTCAGTGTTCTCCTCTGGGTCTTAAGTTCTGTAGTGACAAGATTAGAAAGCCATACTCTATGGCTCTTCTATAACCACTTTCAGCAGATATGGCGCCCCTTGTTAAAAAGTGTACTGGTGTCACGGCTCTGTGTATTCCCTGCCCCTCTGAGTTGGACCTCAGAGCAGTGCGAGTTTAACAAAGCTCTGGCAAGCCCTGGTGGCTGTTGGATCAATCTTCTGTGTTCAGCAGTGAGTAGGGGGACACCCCCTCAGTGGTGGGGCCTTGACACTGAGTTTTCTCCTCCTTGAGGTCCAAGCTTTCTCTCGGATGGTGTCGGGGGGAGATGAAGGAAGCATAGGGAGGGGCTATTGGTTCTCCTCACCTCTTGAAATGCCACCCCAAAGACAGTTATGGGGGGAGCACCCTTTCCACCCAGACGCTGCCATTTCTTCCTGAAGCCAGAGACCTCCCTGGGCCCCGATGACCTAGGAATGCTGCAGGGGGCTGGTAGGATGGTAAAGTTAAGGCTTCAAGAAAATATCGTATGAACAGCCCTGGTGAGTCAAACCACATCAGGGGGCTGAACTGCAGAACGGGGTGCCATGGGGATTCTGAGAGACCCTAGAACCTAGTATGGGATCCAGGTCCTGAGAAGGAACACTGGGAATAGGCTGCCAGCTGGCCCCCTGGTGCCTGAGGGTCTCTCCTTCCCTTTCACCCCAAACAGCCCCTAAACTCATGCAGAAGCAAGGAGTGCCTGGCGTGGGAGAAGCTGGTGCTCCTGGAAACGGACACTAGGGAGGGGGCACAGGGAGGAGGGAGTGAGGTGGACAGCGCTCTTGGGTGCAGGCAGATGCAGGGGCTGACAGCGCCACGGTTACAGCTAGTAGGAGCGGCCGGACCATTGATATAAACCCGAAGTCTGAAATACAGCCTGAATGTAGAACACATGCACACAGGCAGGCATACACACACATGGGCACACACAGACGCACCTGACCATGTCTCCAGCCAGGCCACATAGGCAGAGAAGGAGGGAAGTGAGAGGGAAGTACTCACCCCTGTCAGCCTGTCGGACATTTTTCATCCGGATGACCCTCACTGTTAGCAGGTAGCATGTAGACCTCCCCTCCTGTGGAGTGAGAAGACAGTAGACTCATGTTCAGGCAACGATGGCAGGTGGCCTTGACAGAGAGCAGCTCAAGCTGGCCACAGGCTCGCACTGCCAAGACTCAAGAAGGCTCCCCGCAGTCAATCCACATTTCTGGGCCCTGGGGGACTCTCTGGTCCCCAGGGGACCCCAGGCACCGAAGTGAGGGTTTTTTCCCTTTCCCCACTCTGAGCCAGCACACCCTGGAAGAAGGACAGCTTCATCTTTGTTCTGTTCATGTTTTTCTGTTTGAATCTTGGGATCTGAAGCCCTTTCTTTGAAAGCTTTAGTCAGGCTTAGGTAAGTCTTTTTTATCATCCACTCCCAGCCCATGCCCACGGCAGATGCCACTGGAACCCCCAACTCACCAAGTGACTGTATTTGTGGAGGTCTCTGAACTAGAATGTTGATACCCCACATAGTACACTCTGTTGCTAAAATCACTTTATACCTTTTTAAGAGGGTGCAATTCTTCTCTATTTAAAATAATATTGGAATTCGGGAAAAACAAAAGCATGAAGAAAAAAAGAATCCCTCTAATATTACCACTCAAAAATGATCATTATCATCATTAAATTTTTTTAATGTTATTATTATTTTCATTTTCAGCTCAGACTGTCCACAGATAGCTCATTTGCCTTGGCCAGTATCAGAGAAAATAATATTTGTAATAGTTAGCATCTGTTGAACACTTACTATTTGTCAGACACTTCTTTTAGTTTCTAATCCTCATAAGACCTTTATAATAGAGGTGTTGATATCTTTTCTTTTAATTGAGACATAACTGACATATAACACTGAAATAGTTTTAGGTGTACAACATACTGATTTGAGATGTAGATATATATCTATATATGTTATGATATGATCACCACAATAAGATTAGTTAACATCCATCATCACATATGGTTAAATTTTTTTTTTTTTACTTGGTACGAAAGCTGCTATCATTTTGATGTCTGTCCTTCCACCCTCTTCTGGGGCTTAATTCTAACCAATAGCGGTAGAATGATGACTATTACTCAGTCCCTGAGATAGTTATATAAGTCAATTTTAGGGTCTTTTCCTCTTCTCTTCCCAACACTTGTCTCAAAATCAGAATAAAAGCCAATCTAACAGTCATATATAGTTTAAGGATTGCTTTTGTGAGATGAACTCCAAAATATTGAATATCTTCATGGTCAACGACTTGCTCTGACAGGATTGTTTTGAGCTTTGAACTTGGGCCAGAGGCCATATAAACCATTTCTCCTCTGGTTCTAGAGACATGTCTGTGGCCTTGGGCCAGACCCCCTCTGGGCACATTGGGGTCCCTACTTCTCACTCCCTTCCTGGGCAAAGTGGTGTCAGGGCCTGATCTGGTGAGGAAGGAGGAGTCAGCTTTCATACAGGCGAAGAACTCCGGCAAAGCCTGCTCCCACTGACCCACTTTCTCAGACAGCAACTAGAGGGCTCCAAGTGGAAGCTGCCCAAGGCTTCAGCCAGGCAGGGGTCAGTTCTCGGGGGCATTTCATAGTGTCGAAGGGCTCCAAACCCACATCCCTGGTGCTCTTGGCCACCACTACCCTTCTCCTGCCTCCGGGATGGGCTGTCCTTGACCCTGCCCGGCTCTCTTGTATCTTCTCTGGAAGTGAGAGAGCCTCGGAAGTTTCCTGCAGGCCCTCACCTGCAGTCTCCCTACCTTCTAGGAAAAACTCTCTGTTGTCATCTACCCTGATAACTCCCAATGACCGCTGACCATTTCTTTCTACTCTGACTCAGCTGCAATAACCACATCAGCTACCACCTGCTGAGTGCCTGCCCTTTGCTAAGTGTTGTGTATATAACCTCTGCATTTTGTCTTGCTCAAACCTTACAACACCCCATGGAGCAGCTATTATTAGCCTCACTTTACAGATGGGGAATGTGAGCCTAAGTCCTTTGACCTCAGGTACTCAGCTCGAACCAGAGGAACCCAAGTCTGAATCCAGTTCTAATTTGTAAGTGTATGTTCAAATCCACGGCTATACCGCCATCTCGCTTGAAAGCTGCCCTCGGCACACACGCAGACAGGTGCTGCTGACCCTCATCTCCTCTTCCTTTAGTGCTTAGAACCTATTCTTAGAATCTGTTTTTCTGACAGATTCTTTTTACCTTGAATTTCCCCAAAGTCTCCAAATACCCCCACACGCTGGCCATTTCCCCACTTGCCGTGCTCTACTGAGGCCCTGATGTCTCTCTTTTAAACAGCCAGAGTCCACCTTGAGCTTCCAATCACACCTTCTAGCCAAGGCACTTGCGGGAGAGACTCAATTTCAAAGCCCCCTACCTCTTATGTCTCCCAGCAGAGAGACAGAGTGCAGAGGGCCCCACCGGGAGGGAGGCAGAGCGAACGTGGGACTTGAGCCTGGGCCCAGGTGATTTCAGGAGCCAGGACTGTAAAAAAATTACCTCCCTGGCTTCAAATAAGTATTCTTTTCCTGATATAATACGCTCAATTAGAGTGGGGGGAGAAATAAGCCCCAGAGGTAATTGATACACAGCAGAGAAATGCAAAAGAACAAAGCAGAGTGTCTGTGACTCTGCAGATGGGAACCAGAAACCAGCGAGATTAAGAAACCCAAGTTTATGGGCGCTTACGGTGTGCTAAGAGTAAGGACTTCAGGGACTTGGACAAGCCCATCCCTAGAACAGGATGCCCTGGTTGAAATATCTAACAACGGGCATGGTCAGGCCCCGTGCCAGCTGGGCTGCCGCCCTGGAGCAGGGACAGGCATGAATCCTGCGGTGCATTCGGCGTCGAAGGGTCCTAGGGTGAGGATGAGGGAGCACTCACGGCACTCGAGCTCCAAGCAGGGACTATCTCGCAAACAGTACAAAAACTCGTTTAGACATATTAACAGTGCAGCTGTGTGGGGAGGATGGGTAGAGAGCAGTTTTCTGGGACACCATTCCTCAGGCCGCCGACACATTCCTTCTATCTTCCTCCCCGGCCTTGGTCCCCGGGGCTGATCTTGCCAGGCCTTCATTTCCCTCCAGACCGCCTAGGACAGGGGGCATTTGCTAGCTCGTATGAAAAAGATGTAGCCCCTTGATTCTCAGGAGTGGCTGTTTCACAATCCAATATTACCCACTCCCATCCCATTGCTGTATAGATAGACCTTCCGGCAGAGAGGATGGAGGACAAAATTCATTCCCCTCCCCTGGGGCGCCAGGTCCTGATGCCACACTGGGTGCATTGCATCTGTTCTCACCTAGCCCTCCAACCATGCTCTGAAGAAGGTACTATTATGCCTGCTTTGCAGAGAAGACTGAGTTTAGAGAAAATGCATCTCACACAGGATCACACAGACCAGTGACAGGACTCAGGTGTAGTGTGTTTCTAGGCACCTGGACACTGGCCCTCACTATGAATGAACCAAACCAGCTAAAATCTTGCTCCAGGTCATGCCCTAGACTAATTCATAGCAGAGGCAGGAGTAAAACCCTCAGCTCCCAATTTTGGACTCTCCTTATACCCCAAGAATCTAGCTACCACTACAAATTAGTCAAAATTTAGTTACAGAGAGTCACTCGGGGTCAGGCTCCCAGGTAAGGGTGGGGGTGGGGAATAGGGCCTGACAACTGTGTTTCAGAAGTGGTGGGTCTGATGCCCACCCTCAGGTCAGGCGTACCCTAACCAAACCAGCCCACAAGCGCTGGGGCACTAATGGGGGGAAGATAGCTCCCCTGGAGCCTGTGGGAACTGCCCTCCCCAGGGCTTCTCAGGGCAGGCCTGGCTAGTGATGCCATCTCCTTTCCAGAGAGCTGGGTGGATCCAACAGTCCCTTTCGACACCTGTGTCAGAGGTCAGACCAGCCTGGTGATAACTTCCAGGATGCACAGGCCTGTCCTAATAGAAGGCCATTGGGGTGGGAACTCTGTGGGACTCCAGAACATTCCTTAAGTAGTCTGAGCAACAGCCCAAATCAGGGGTCACCTGCAAGGAGCCTCTCTGGCCTTTTTACTGCCCAGGTTAGGTGAGGGGGCAGGGCAAAAAGTCCCAGCTCTGAGTCACGGGCCTTCCAGGACTTGAGAGGGCAGGCACAGTCCTCAGTTGCTTCACTCCCCACTTTGAGGTAAGCTCTGCTCCTTCTGTGGAGGGATTCCACAGCCCAGCCCAGGCTCTTGGAGACTTGGTAAGACTGGAGAAGGAGGAGCAAGTACTGACCACCTCCTCCACGAAGCCTTCTCGGACTCACACTTTCCCTTCCCAGCTGACATCCACTTTTCATCCTCTGTGCTCTCAAGCCAGTTATTAGCTCTGTAAACCACAGATGTTCACAAATGTGAAGGCTTTCTACTGATCCTTCTAGGATATCCCTGTTACCAGGATATTTGCACCTCTGAGCTTGTTAGGGCTACTTAGCGGCTAACCGAAGTTTCCCTGAGGGCTGTGGGGAATGTGGGTACCCCCTGAAGGCCATGTCTGTTCTGGCCAGGGCAGTGGGGCCCCGGCTCCATGCAGCACAGAGCTCCCCTCCTGGGCTCCATGGAGACTGAACAGGGTCTCCATCTCCCACCCCAAAAGAACAAGACACTACCGAAGGCATCACTCATCTCATTCAGAGACTTAGTGTGGGCTGGGGAAGGTAATGAGAAATAAGTTGCTGCTGATAATCCTTGGCATGGCGTGCCTACAGCAAATTAGAAGAGTGAGATAAGATAGGAAAGCCAAGGCAGAGCTGGTCCAGAGCCCTGGCAACCTGACCACGAACCTGGGGTCTTCCTGCCAGGCTGAGAGGAGCTGCAGAGACCCAGGAGCCTTGACCACAGACGCAGGTGGGAGGCTTCTTGGCCAACGGTGACAGGTGGGCAGTGTCACTGATCCCCACCGGACATCACACCACACACTCACACAGCATAGCAGTTTCAGATGTCCCCAGGGTAAATACCTGCTCGCTGTTAGGATAGGCCAAACGTGGGCCCACTCTTGGCAGTGCTGAGCACTGTCCAGCTGGCTGCTGGCCTGACCCCAGCATGGCCCTGAGCCACTCCATGGCATCTTGTCAAGCTCCTGGGTACCCACAGCTGGGCCATCCACCCCAGAGCTGCAGTGCCAACTGGGCCAGACCACGTCCCCAGGTGCTAGGTGGGGGCTGCCCCAGCAGAGGCGCTCCGTGTCTCTGGAGTCCACAGTGCCCCCAGCCTCCCTGTGTCTGCCTCCTGCCCTCAGCCCCTGGCCCCACCCACCCAGCATAGCTTCCTCACCTCCAAGGCGCAGGTACCCAAGGGTCTGCCATCTTCTGCTTGGTATGGGTCTGGTATATAGTGGGAGTTCCAGGCGGGTACCTGCTTCTGGAGCATTGCTGTGGCTCTCCAGCTGGGTGGTGAGACTGGGGATTTATACTGACTCAGAGCTCTGCTTCCCTGAATGACACCTGGCATTGGCTGGGATTGTGCTGGGAGGGACTAAGGTAGGTAAGCAGATACGGAGTCCACGCCTAGGTCTCTTACTATCAAGGGATCCTCAGGTCCTCGGATCCTAGAAATGCAGGAGCCAGCAGGGGCTATGACCTTCAGGTCAGCAGTCTGCTGCCCCCCGAAGCTCAGAATAATCAGCTGTGGGAACAGAGGGTGGCAAGACGAGGGTGCTGACCCTCACGCTGTCAGAATAAACCCCATCTCTTCAGCTTACTGAGGTCCTGGCTCAGACACGCCACTCTGGGGGGTGGGGTGGTGCCTGCTTTTTTAACTCCACTTAGTCCCATGGCTTAGAGCCAGAGGAGCTGTGGGCATGACCTCATGGGAGGCAGGGACCATGGCCAGGGCTCCTGAAGTTAGAGGGTTAAGAAAGAAAATAGTTGCCCAAATCCTTGGTGAGGAGAGTTGGTTGAGGGCAAGTGCCCCCAGCCCGCCCTCCTGGGAGGCCAGGTGGAGAGAGGGTGTGCCCAGCGCCTGTCTGGTCTCAGGCCAGCTTAGAGGATTCTCTGGCCCCACCCAGCTGATCCCTATCTCTGACCTGGTAGATGGCTCACTAGGGGGCCTGGTGAAGTAGCTTCACCTGCTCAGCAGCCCAGCTTAGTATAGTGGGAGTTTCCTGCCTGAGCTATTGCCTGGGGCCCCGCAACCGGCTTTTCTGGCCCACAGATTAAAGTATATGAAACTCAGGGTGAGATCTGAACACAGGGCTGACAGGGCCCAAGCACAGGGATGGAACCTGGTCGGAGGTATCTGTGGGACCTCCTCCCTGCCAGGGAGAGGATATCCCCACCCTGCTCCCCTCGGCCTGCCAGGCCCACCAGAACGGGAATGGGGCCTTGGCTTGGGCCCCACCCAGCCCGTGCCCTTCCTTGCCCCGACATCTATCCCACTGCCAAGGACACAAACTCAGCACGCACTCCTCTCTGTGGACTAAACCCAATTTCGTTCACACAGCTTAGTGAGCACCTGCTGCATACACGCTAAGTGAGAAAATCCCAGGCTTGAGGTTGCTGACAGTCTGTCTGGGGAGCCTAATGCTTCCAACCTCTCAGAGGCTCAGAGGTGTGCGCCTCCGGCAGTGACAGGGGTATTCTAGGGTTTGTAAACACCTGTGCTTCACATTTGTAAACATCTGTGGTTTCCGGAGTTAATAACTGGCTAGAGAGCACAGAAGGTGAAAAGTGGATGTCAGCTGGAAAGGGAAAGAGTGGGTCTGAGAAGCCTTCATGGAGGAGTTGGCAGCTGTATTGGGTCTTAGAGGATGGAGAATGTTTCAGTAACTAAGGAGAGGTGGGGAAGGCATGGCAGGAGAAAGAACAGCATGAGCAAGACTAGGGAGGCCAGAAAGCAGGGCAGGCTCAGGTATACAAGTGGTCCGGTGTCAGAGAAGTGAGTTGCATGGGAGGAGACAGGGATTGGGGTGGGGGAGGGGTAGAGAGTGGGGCACCGCAGGTGGTGGAAGTTGGGCAGAGAGAAGGGAGGCTTTGTGAACGAACAAATCTGGAAAGGTACATTAGGGCCCAACTGTTGTGACCCTGAAAGACCATGCTTTAAATTCAGACTTATTTTCTAGGCAATGGGAGCCATCAATTTTTTTTTATTATTATTATTTACATTATTATATATGTGCCTACTTTCCTCCCCTTTCCTCCACTCAGCCCTGGCCTCCCTTCCCTCTGGCCATCACCACACTGTTGTCAGTGTCTATGGGTTATGCATGCATGTTCTTTAGCTAATCCCCTCACCTTCTTCCTGTCCCCCGATCAGTGGTTTTTGAGCAGGCGAGTGACAGGATCAGAGTTGGACTTCTGGAAGGCTGATTGATGTGGTGGGCAACCTAACCAACAGCACAGCCGTGTCCTAAAAGTGACAAGGTGAGGGGTATGGTGAGGTCCAGGGGACCTTCTCCCTGAGGATCCCACCTGTCTTCACATTCCCTCCACTCCCCAACCCTTCCCCGACAAAACAGACATAGGGAAAGCCCCAAAACCCAGGACATTCTTCAAAGCCGGGAACTTGATCCTCTCCTCACCAAAGGAGCCCAGCCACACAACAGCACAGCCTGACTACTTCGTCCACCCAGGGCAGTGGACGGAGAATCTAGCTCTTGGATCCTTGTATTAACATTTGCTCATTGTGCATAAACTCCTCAAGACCAGAGCCTTGCGTTAAAGGAAATCAAATTAAATAAGAGGTGGGTGGAAGTTGTTTCCTCTGCACCTTTGACATCACCTCTGACCCAGGTCAGAGCTGGTGCAATAGCAAACTGAGTCAATGTTCTATCAGCAAGCACTTACTGAGTGCCTACTGTGTGCCCACCTGGGTGCAGAAGGCTCAGGGCAGGTTTTGGAAGGAAACAGAGAACTTATGATCTAATAAGGGGGAATAGGGCTGAATTAAATGCCAAATTGTCCAGTTTAAATTCCAGTATAGGGAAGAGGGCCCAGAGGACTCTATCGTGGACTCAGTGGGAACTGGGCTGGGAAGGTATGGAGTGCCTGGCAAAGAGAAACATCCACAGACAGAGTGAGGGGTGCCTAATTCCCTCCTCTAATCCAATGTGTCTCCAAATAAACATGCAGTTTAAGCTAAAACACTGTTCTTGGTACACACCTGGTGCTCTCTCTCTGCCGCCAGAGTTACTTCATGTGGAAGCTCTGCAGCTATCTCTGCACAAAGTGGAAGGGACTAAGTTCCTTTTCACCCAGCACCCCCTCCTCCTTAAGGAGCAGAGAGTCCAAGTCCTCTACCTCTGATTGTGTGTAGAGACTTGTTAACTGACTCCCATGATGGGTGACTAGGGCCTGCCTTTCACCCAGAGCCCTTTGACCTCAGGTAACCCAACATTGAAAAGTACTTTCCTCTGAGAAGCTCAGCTGACATCACTCCTCTGTGCACCCAACAAGGATGAATTCTTTACCCTTCCTTTTCCAACATGCCTCAGGTACTGTCCCTTCCTTCCTACCCTGTCTTTCAGTAGCGTCTTGCTCCCAGAACCCTCTGCCTCTCGCTGATTCATCCTACACACACCTGACTGGCCAGTGAACTTTGTGACCATCCCCTTCAACAAGTTACTCTCCTGCTGAAGGCATCTAATGCTTTTCCATTCCTTCCAACACATTCTGGATCCCCAAACCTTCCATAAACCAAAGAGAGCCCAGAAACAGCCCTATGTATATATCACATTTTAGTCTATGATCAAGAAAGTATTTCAAATAGGTAGGGGAAAGAATAGACTATTTATTTTTATAAAAACTAACTTACCACTGGAATAAAATAGAAGTTAGATCCCAACTTCATAACTACACAGAAATAAATTCTACAGATTAAATATCTATTAAAATAATAATATAGAAGATTTAAAATAAAATATTAGAGGATATTTAGATAATATTGGGATGAGAAGGATCTTCCTAAACAAAGTACAAAACCTAGAAGTCAACAGGGAAAAGCATAGCCAGGAATGTAAACTATGGTAAAGCCAGAGATGCCATAGGCACAGTTCCACTTCCACAATCCATCCGAAGTTTCCTCCTAATAAATATTCATGGGTAACACAATCACCCTGAAAAAAATAACAGTAAAGAGGAGAGTCTTGCCCCACCAGATCCTAAAGATCAACTACAAAGCCACACTAACATAAGCAGTAAGTTGTTGATGCAAGAAAAGGACCAAAGGAACAAAATAGAGGGATCAGAGACAGACCCTGATATGTAAAGGAACTAAATAAATGATAGAACTGGCATCACACATCAATAGGAAAAGAACAAACTGTTTAATAGATGACATGGTCTCCAGTGACTCACTATATAGAGTAAAATAAAACATCCCCACTTAACCCCATATAAAAAGATGGGCTATAGACAGAATGCATGAAATGGAAAACTATAAAGTTGATAGAAGATAATGTAGGAGAATCTATTTATGTTCAAGGGACAAGAAGGATTTCTTATATAATATTTTGAAACCATGAACCATAAGAGGAAAAAAAAACTTCTAAATTTGATTACATAAGAATTAAGGATTTGTGTCAACCACGAACACACATAAAAAGTTAATACATTGATTGTTGACAGAATGACAGAATATGTATATTCACCATGCATTTGCAAATTACTAAAGGAGTAATATCTGGTATGTACAAAGAATTCTGATGTATGAGAGGAAAATGGCCATGCCAACATACAAATGGACCAAAGATTTGAACCTGCAATTTACAGAAAGGGAAACCCCAAAAGCTAATAAGCTCTTGAGGATATGCTCAGAATTATTCATAATTGTGGAAATTAAATTACAATGAGATTTCATTACAGCTATTAAATTGGAAAACACTTGAGAGAGTTGGATAATGTTTGCAGTTCTGTGTGGAGACAATGGGAAAGGACATGTGGGGACAGGGACATAACAACGAAGAGGACAAGCATGGGGCCTCTCTGTGACCAAGGGGAACAGAGGGCTCACCTGTGGCACTCGGGTGACATTTTTTTCCTCTGGCTTTCTCCCAGCCTCACTGCCTCTGCTATAGTCCAAACCTTTATCCTCATTCATCTCAACTTCTGCATTAGCCTAACTGGTTAATGAAGCCCCTGCTTCCACTTTTGCCTTCCTATAAGCCATTCCCTGCAGAAGAGTACAAGTGATCTAGAAACATCAGCTAGATGGTATGACTGCCCTGATGAAAACCCTCCCATAGCTTCTGGTTGCCCTTATTTTTTGCCATGGCTCTGAAAGGTCCTGTGGGTGTGGTCTCTCACACCTGTTCTACTCCTTCCCTCATGTACAAGTTCCAGCTGCACTGGCCCTCTGTGTCCTGAACACGCCAAAGTCTTTCCCACTTCAGGGAGTCTGCACTTGTCAAACCGTTGCCTCAAGTCCTTGGCCTC